GTTTGCAAAACCACGAAAAGTGGTCTGTTCTTTTTTTGTGTTCGTGATTGTGTTTTGTTTGAGTTTGTGTTTTTTTTGTTTTGGTTTTGTTTCGTGTGGCTCACTTTTTTTTGTTTGTGATTGCGTTTTGCTCTTCATTGATTCTTCTTTTTCCTCGTTTCATTTTTGTTTGGCAAAAACACCATAAAGCGATTTCGTGTGGCATCTTTTTTTGTGTTCGTGATTGCGTTTTGTTTGTTTTTTCCTTCGAGTGGAAGTTCGAAATTCCCAAAAGCATCGAAGGGTTCTTCCGTGCGGAGCCGGTGAGAGAACATAGATGACAGACATAGAATCGAGTTCATAGATGATATGCATCGAGTGAAGTACATAGAGTCGAGTACATAGATGACTTACCAGGATTCTGACTCTATGACTCTATGACACTATGACTCTGTGACTCTATAACTCTATGTACTTGACTCTATGACACTATGACACTTGACTCTATGTCTCTATGGCTCTATGACTCTATGACATTATGACTCTGTGACTCTATGACTCTATGTACTTGACTCTTTGACTCTATGACACTATGACACTTGACTCTATGCCTCTATGACACTATGACTCTATGACTCTATGACACTATGACTCTGTGACCCTATGACTCTGTGCTTCGGACTCTATCCTACTTATCCACATCTCGGTATATAATCTCTCTTCTAAAGCCAGGGTGGCACCGTCGTCATCGATCGGGAACGCAACCCTTCACAGGGATTGGCCTGGTCGAGCGCCCAAACGCTAGGTAAAGTTACACATTTTAGGCGTCGCGTGCAACCTTTCACAGGGATTGGCCCGGTCGAGCGCCCAAACGCTTAGTAAAGTTACATATTTTAGGCGCCCCTTGCAACCCTTCACAGGGATTGGCTTGGTCGAGCGCCCAAACGCTGGGTAAAGTTACACATTTTAGGCGCCGCGTGCAACCCTTCACAAGGATTGGCCTTGTCGAGCGCCCAAACGCTGGGAAAGTTACACATTTTAGGCGAGCCGCGCAATCTTTCATAGGGATTGGCTTGGTCGAGCGCCCAAACGGTAGGTAAAGTTACACATTTTAGGGTTCCCGCGCAACCATTTGCATGGATTGGCCTGGTCGAGCGCGCAAACGCTAGGTAAAGTTACACATTTTAGGTGCCCCGTGCAACCCTTCACAGGGATTGGCGTGGTCGAGTGTTCAAACGCGAGGTAAAGTTACACATTTTGCGATCGACGCGCAACCCTTTGCGTGGATTGGCGTGGTTGAGCGCCCAAACGCGAGGTAAAGTTACTACTTTTGATGTGCATTGAGGTGAAATTTGCAACCCTTCACAGGGATTTGCGTGGTCCAGTGTTCGAACGCGAGGTGAAGTTAACACTTTTGCTGCGCATGGAAGTGTAGTCCCCTAAACCCAGAAGCTCTGAGCCCGGAAACTTTGAAACCCGGCAGCACTAAACGCAAAACCCTTTGAAACCAGAAGCCCTAAACCGCAGTGCTAAACCCAGAACCCCTGGAACCAAAAACCCCTAGTCCCGACACAAGCTCTGACCTCTGCCTCACGATGACCCGGCAGCGATGGTAACACCAAGATTCGGAGAGGTGAGGATTGGCGCCGCAGTGGTCACAATGCCATGCACGACCAGCTTTTCCATCACACTCCGGATCACTTCGCGTCTCTCGGTTTAGCCTTCCTCGAAGATCACCGATCACGAGCCTTGTCAGTCGGGGGACACGATCATGATGGAACTTACCGACAACTTCCCCTCGATGACCCACCACAAGCATATGTTCTTCTGCTCACCCCGGACAGACCCACACTCTGGAATCATAACGTGCTTCTCTTCGGCTCTGCAGCGAGTGTGTGGTCATACAGTCCTCGTAGCATGTAGTCGCACATTGGTTCTGTCTCCGGCACCACACTACGTAGACGACTATGGAAGCCTCCGACCCAGCCCAAATGCATTGTCCCAGGCCTGCTAAATGCATTCGGCCCTGGTTTCACCAAATCTGGAGCTCAATGCTGCCCTTACACCCGAAAATGCAGCCACGCATAAACAGCTCGAATCAGAATCTTGTGTTCAATGCCCGGCCGGGTATACCATCTGCAACTTTGTCAGCTTGTCTACTACTCTAATGTGAGCCCAACGACAGTCTGGTGTTGGGATAATCAACGGGATTATTCAAAGCTTGCACGTGTGATCAACGACGTGCACAACCTATGTTGCGCAAACCGGCGAGTCAAAATATTTCGCTTGCAGGCACCGTTCCAAATATTCAACATACGTGGAACTTTGCCAAGGGGTTGTAGATCGTGTGAACAGTGCCCAATGTACGAAAACATGTGCTATTTTAAATGAAGTTTGCTGGGTAGGAACGGCGGGAGTGGCGAGGACGCAGCGCACGAGCAGGATATAAATTTGGCATCATATTTGAAACCAAGTACATCTGGTGTCCTGTTTCATGTTTGTGTTGCTCTCGATTTCGTACTTAGGCTTGAAAATTGAATACCTGAGAGCTTCACAACTTCAATCAAGCCAGATTTATCAGGCTTGTTCCCCAACTGAGGGGCATCAATTGCTCAACTTGTCAGCATATTGCTTGTGCAAAACCCTTGTATCAACGTGTGTTGCTGCTTCGGCATCGATATGATGCAGGTACGGTCCGGTGGCTTCAAGCGTTACTACGCCGGGTGGCACGTACATTTCCGTTCTTTGTGAAAGGTTCACAGCGGGATCAGGGCAACGAAGGAACAGTTGACTCAAAAGTGCTAATAAGTAGTTGGATTGCTGGTGCCTTGCATCTCCAGACGGAACACAAATTGAGTTGAAAGCGTAAAGCCGGATGGTGTGCATTGACGACAGCTTCGATTTTGTTGCACGACCAAAGAACATAAACTTGCATGGGTGGTTCGCCACGGAAAGCAGCTTGAAGCCATGTCAGCAGCTCAAATGGCACCAGCCCGGCCGTCAGTTTGACTGTCGCAAACCCCAAGCGCGGAAAACTTCTACTGTGTAGTTGTGAGGCCAACGGCGAGATCGGCCGGCCAGCTCTGCCGGGTAACTCAGACTTACTGCGCAACACTGACAGTTCGCTGTGGTTCGTCTTGGTGCGAGCATCGTAGATGTACATTGTGGGCTAACAGAACCCACGCGTTGACAGCAGTGTGTTGCATGATTGAGTTTGTCCAGCACGATCCGGTCCGCAAGTAGTTGTTTCAAATGCGCAACAGGACACATGAAGGTTGTGGAGTTGGCAGGATTTGCTTTGCCACAGACTGCGTTTGATGCATGTATGTGGGATGTCGAACAATTCTCCCTCAGATTGGCACAGTCCTCTGTTGTTGTGTGCACCAAGATTTGCTGTTCCGGCGACGCCTTTCGTGATGAAGCCTGCTCCTGCGGCATGCTCGGTGAGAAGCTGTTGTCATTCTGCTGTGAAAGACTTCTCTGGCCAAGGTTGCCAAGTATGCCCGTTCAGTTTCAACACTTCGTGGAGGCTGATCGGAGGAATTCGGAGGATGAAGCTTGGAACTGGGTGGTATTTTGAATTCAGCTGCGCAGGCTTGCCGCCATCTGGATACCAGCTCGAGCGTGTGAAGCTCAGGGTTCAGTTGTTTTTTCGTGTGCAGACATGTGTTTTACGTGAGGTCGAGCTATATCGCCGGTTCCAATGCGGTGGGTGTCACCTATACATGTGAGGGCAATTCCAGGCGAGACCGGCGGCGTGGTTCGAACGCAGCTCGCTCAAATCAAGTCAAGTGGCAGCCATCAGTGTGCTCAGGTGGCCAACCGGCTCCAAGGTCGTTTTCGCCATCCAGGCCCTCTGTTCGAGTTGAACGGTCACGGCGTGTACATAATAGGAGATGCGATCACTGCAGGTTGTGGTTTTGAAACTTGAAGCGGCTGTTCGAAAACTCTGGTCAATGATATCCTGTTAGCTAGCCAGCCCCGTTGGCAAGGGCAAGCTGTCCTGCGAATTTCAATAATTACATGTTGTACTCATGTGCATCGTGACAGACACGATCATCTTTGCTGCCTCTGAATCGGCTCTTGAAGCCAGGCAAGGTTCTCCACTCGCAGTGCGATCATCCAGGACACCAGAGTTGTGACACCATCCTATACTGCATAGAAGGATCTTACCTTCGATGTGTCGAATGGTTCGCGTTGTTTGGTTTTCATGCGAGAGTTTCATTTCAACGTCTGCAGGGGCATTGTCTTTCCTGGAGCTGCAGTTCTGCGACCTCCGCTTCTGCCTGTGGATCAGCACATCAAGGTCTTCTCGAGCGTTCATTTACCCGGTTTGTGCTTGATGATGGGCCGTGGGTGGTTCATCGTGAAGGCCATGCCTGTGCACAGCGATGACGGGCAGATCAGGACTACCCGACTGTCCGACAGCAGCTTCGACCTTGTCTTGTTGACTTGCATGCTTGGAAGATTGAGAGACGGAAGTCTGCCAGAGGAAGATGTATCCTCGAACGGTGTCACCCGCGCCTTCGCCCATGACTATGCCAGCTCCAGTGCAGGCTGTCGCAGTCCTGCACTTCACAAACAGGAAGCCAGTTCTGTCGATGAGCATCCGGTGCAGGCACCATCATTGGTGAGGATAGGCAGCCCTACGCCATCGCAGCGATGGCCCGTGCCAGTGGTGTGGGGTCCTCAAGGTATGTGATGCACGGCTTGTTTATGATGACAGGTTATGTCTTCAGCTGTGCGTGAAGTTTGCTGTGCTTCCTGAGGCCTGTCTTCCACATGGTGTGGCCCGTCTGCTGACATTCTTGACTTTCCTTGGCGGCGCTCGGTGTCAGCCTTGCTTGTCCTGGAGTTCTGAGGCGACGCCCGTCTGACACGCCGGCTTTGGATACGAAGCCCACACAGGAGTGAAGGATTTGTGCTGTGTCTCGGTCTGCGAGCCCCCATGGTTCAACACCAAGAGCAACTGTTGATTCCCGAGTGCATCTGGCCCAAGCAGCAGCTCCGGGATCAGGCAAATGGCAGAGGCTTGGCCCGCATTGCCGAGTATCCAAAGAGGAACCTAACCGTCACATTTCCCTTTGTTTTCTCACGGTACACTGATGGCGTGCTTGTTGCAATGTTGAGGACAAGCGCAGCTTTCGTCGGATCTGTGTGTATGGCGGCAGCAGCGCGCAGGTGGATAGAGAGCACCTTGCTGAGACGGCTAGGGGTTGAAGCCTTGGTCTGCTACTGTACCCTCATTGCAGAAGATGGGAAGGCAGTAGATTGAGGCACTAAGCTTTGCTGCTTCCGGGCTCTTCAGGTATCTGCAGAGCGCTGCTGACCTGGGAACAGCCTTGGCACGGCATGGTATTGGGGTGGTCTTCGGTGGTGGTAAAGCAGGCATGATGGGAGCCTTAGCAGATGCAGCATTGGCGCAGGGTGCTGAAGTTATCGGTGTCATTCCAAGGCAGGGGTTGATGAATCTGCCTTTCTTTAGTCCCATATCGGCTTTTCTGCTGAAACCTGTTTCAACCCTTGCCAGGAATCTGGTGGAAAAGGAAGTGGCACACACTGGTTGCACTTGTTTGAGAGTCGTGGAGTCCATGCATCAGAGGAGCAACCGAAGGGCTTGAGATCTGCTTTCTTTGAAAGAGGCGTGATACTTCTTTCCAAGCCGGCATCCATGAGTCAGGAAAGCCCTGATGGCCGAGCTTGCAGATGCGTTCATCGCGCTTCCGGGAGGATGGGGAACTCTGGAGGAGTTTAGCGAAGTTGTCACATGGACACAGCTCCTTGGTGTCTGAAAGTGAGCGGCCATGACGCTTTCTCTTGCTATGGGGATCTGTTTTGTTGAGAGCCAGACCGTTTCGGTCTGGCTCCGAAACGGGAGTAGACGAAACGGGAGTAGACTAATTCGGGAACCATGCGCGATTGTCAGGAACCATGAGTCGAGAAACAAGAGGGCAGCAGTCAGGAAACAAAGAGATAAGAGTCGGGAAACAACCGGGGCGGAAGTCAGGAATCAAGCATGCAGGGAAAAGTAACTAGGGTTATAATTAAGGTAGCTATACTTTCAATAACGCCAATTAAGGTACTTATAACCTTACTTACTAAGTCCCATGATCCTCCAAGTACTCCGCCCATTCCAGCAAACGCGCCAAGACTGGTTGAAGTCTTGCTTGCTGCATGAACTCGTATGTCCTAAGGAGCTCGGAACCAAACCCTAGGCTCCAAATCTCTACAATCCAACTCGTGAACTCGAACCAGCTTGTACTCCTGACTCCAAACCCCCTGCTCAGATCTCTACACAACGCGTACCAATATGAATACAGACAAAATACATACATACATACATACCTACCTACCTACATACATACACATATATATATATGTACATACATGCATACATATATACATACATACATATCTGCAGGTGGAGTTTTTTTTTTTCGGTTTGGCGGCCCGGTTCTCTTTAAAAGGTTTGGCGGGATATGGGTTCGTTCGTATGGCCAACTACTAGGACCCCCCTCCTTCCCCCCCTTCCACCCTTCGGCTTCGAAGGGTTCGAAGCCTCCCCTTCGAAGTCCCCTTCGTCTCACCCTTCGAAGCCTTCATCCTCACCTTCGAAGCCTTCGAAGCTTCCTTCGAAGCCTTTGTCCTCACCTTCGAAGCCTGCGAGGCCCCCTTCGAAGCCTGCAGTGGTAATACCGGTAATAGTATTAGTACTAGTAAGAGGAAAAGAAGAAATAGTCAAAGAAATAATAATCGTAATAATGATAGTAATCGTAATAGTAAATAGAGATGGCAATAGTAATAGTAATAGTAGCAGTTCCAGTAGTAGCAATAGTAACAGCAATAACAATAGTAATGGTAATAGTATTAGTAATAGTGATAGTAATGGTAATGACAATACAAATTTTTCGCGGCTTTAGAGAGCCGGGAGTTTAGTCTAAAAAAAGCGGGGGGGTTGGGGGGGGCGCAGCCCCCCCATTTGCAAACCGTTTAAATCCTTCACGATTGATTGTGTTTTCTTTGCGTTAAACCCGCTTGAGCGTTGTTGTCTAGCCTTCTACTTGTTGTGTGTTGGCGCATACGCTTTTGTGGATTTCTTCGCGGCTTTAGAGAACGGCGAAGCCTTTGTCGAAGGCTTCGAAGCCCCCCTCGAAGCCTGTAGTAGTAATACCTGTGATGGTAATAGTAATCGTAATAGAAATAGTCAGAGTAACAGTAGTAGTAATAGTAATAGTAATAGTAATAGTAATAGTAATAGTAATAGTAATAGTAATAGTAATAGTAATAGTAATAGTAACAGTAACAGTAACAGTAATAGTAATAGTAATAGTAATAGTAATAGTAATAGTAATAGTAATAGTAATAGTAATAGTAATAGTAATAGTAATAGTAAGAGTAAGAGTAAGAGTAAGAGTAAGAGTAAGAGTAAGAGTAAGAATAAGAGTAAGAGTAAGAGTAAGAGTAAGAGTATGAGTATGAGTATGAGTATGAGTATGAGTAATAGTAGTAGTAATAGTAATAGTAATAGTGGTAGCAGCAGTAGTAGTAGTAGTAGTAGCAGTAGTAGTAGTAACAATAGTAATAGCAATAACAATAGTAATGGTTATTGTAATGGTAATAGTGATAGTATAATAGTAATGGTAACAGTAATTCTTCGCGGCTTTAGAGAGCGGGGAGTTTAGTCTAAAAAAAGCGGGGGGGGTTGGGGGGGGCTGCCCCCCCACTTGCAAACCTTTTAAATCCCTCACGATTGATTGTGTTTTCTTCGCGTTAAGTCCGCTTAGGCGTTGTTGTCTAGCTTTCTACTTGTTGTGTGTTGGCGCATACGTTTTTGTGCATTTCTTCGCGGCTTCAGAGAACGGGAGTTTAGTCTAAAAAAGGCGGGGGGGTTGGGGGGTCTAAAAAAACCGGGGCTCATGCGTTCATTTTCCCCACAAGTTTCCCGACTCCTGCCTCCCCTCCTTCCCGACTGCTCCGCCGCATGTTCCCGACTCCTGCCGCCTTGTTTCCCGACTCGTGCCTGCTTGTTTCCGACTTTGGTTCCCCCGACTCTTTCCTCACCCAGACCGAAACATTGCCAGAAGCAGGGCAGACCAAGCGTTCCTTCACAGAGGCAGAGACAGAGAGAGAGAGAGAGATCCCATCGTTTAGACATCTTGAGTCTTCTCCGTTGATGCATCCTGGGGAGTGTCGGGGCAAAAGCTGCCTCTAATACCGTGCGCACCGCCAGCCACGGGCGTTCCCCTTCGGGGGTTCGCCCACATGCCTTGTGAAAGAAAGAGATCCCTTTGACCCCAAAGCCATTTCTCTCTGAACCTTGAGAGAGTGAGGTGCGCCTTTGCGCAGGTCCCGGGGGCTGGTCTCCTACTGACATGCACTGGTGTTGTTCCGTTCATGTCGCTGCCGACACCAGTGACTTGTGCCTATACTTGTACTTGGTCACTTTGGGTCGGGATCTTTGGGTTGATCACAAGTGTCATGCCCATACTCTCAATGTGCCTTCCCCCTGTCACTGTTGTTGTTGTTGTGCTCGGTAGTTGTGCCCAATTTGTTGGACCGTAAACACCATGCACATGGGTCTTATGTGAAGGAAGTGACGGGGGGTGCACTTGCTACACTGCTACACTTGTGCAGATGGGCAACCTTGCCTGGAGAGTCAGTCATGTCCTTGTTTCGTTGCCGTATCAGCACGCGCATCAGGATCACATACTTGACTCTAGATCATCTTCCTCCGACATGCACGCTTTTGCTTTCACTCTCCCAGTCTGCCCCCACAGCCTGTTGTTGTCGTCACGGGTGGTCTGAGAGGGAGAGGGAGAGATGCACGGAGAGCCTTCGCATCGGTTTCAGGTCAGAACGTTTAATGAAATGCAACGTCCACTCCCTTGTTCTGGACTCTAACAATGATAATAACGATGACGATCTGGATCTCGAGGATGACGATGATAAGGATGATTAGGAGGGTAATGAATTAATCATGATGATGATGGTGCAATGGATGATAGTTGTGGTTGACGATGCCGATGTTCATGTTGGTTATTGTGATGAGGCTGTTGAGGATATTGATGCTGAAGCAATAGGTACGGCACTTGTTCTGCCGCTGCTGCCGCTGCTGTTGCTGGATGCCGATGATAACGGTGCTGTTGATAGTGATGACGATCATGGCCAGGATGAGAATAGCTTGCGGTTGTTGTGGACGATGGTGGATGACACCAGTGAGGGTTGTGACGGGTAGGACAATGATGATGATTATGCTGATGGGGATGGTGATGATGATTGCGATTCATGATGATAATGATCATGATTACGATGATGAGGAATGCCTGTGATGATGATGATGTGGTTGAGAAGGAAGATTCTGCTGCTGCTGATGCTGATGATTGGCAGTTGCTGGTGGTTCTTGTGACTCTGCAAGATGCAATGGAGGCTGGGCTTGGCCCGACACCTTGGATTTGGTTGATCGAGGGGAATGAGTCCCCGGCAACAAGCCCCTTCTGCGATAAGTCAGATGTAGCAGGTGGGGACGGGGGCTGGCCTCAATCAACATTTCCTTCTCAGGCTGAACATTCACCTGAAGCCAGTCGGTTTGCTGAACAAGTGGGGCTTCTGGGACCACTTGCTGAGATGGGCGGAGCATGCGTGTGAAGCAGGACAGTCGGCGACCGAGATGCCGGGTCTGGTTCCGCAGTTGCTGCATATTGGGGATCTGCTGCTGTAAATGCAGCGGACTCTAACTTGGGAGCAATGGGTGTCGTTGCTTTGATTGTTGGCCGGAGGGCTCTTGTTTGCGTTCCTCGTACTGTTGGAACTTCGTTTCCCATGGAATCGTGCAGCCCTTCCACAGTTTCATAGCTGTGCCGTGCTGGTTTGCAGAGCTGCTGGAACCGAAACCACAGCCACTGCAAGCTTTGCTACAAGCTCCTGCACTGCAGGCTTCAGGAAATCCGAACTACAAACATAGCAAAACCTGCCGGGGCCGGTCTGCAAAAACGCGACAGAGAGAGAGCAATAGCGAACACAGCAAAACCAGTGAAAATCTCTGCTGACGCGCATGACACTGGTAGAGGAGATGCAACAAAAAGTGTCGTTTTTGAAAAGAGTGCTGGGATCGGAAAGCCTGATTGTCTTCAGAACTGACAATGTTGTTAGGACATTCCGTGGACTTGTCACAGAAAAGCCGCATTACTCCTCAGCTGCGAGTAACCCTGACGAGAGCCGAGTATCGCAGGATTCCTGTCGATGAAATCGAAGAAGATGGTCTCGGTGTCAGACGATCCTGATGCTTTGGTTCGCGCAATGCAAGTTGCTGAACTACCTGATGCGGCGGAGAAGTTGGGGAAACTCCAACAGCGAGCAGCTTGACAGCCCAAGCCGTTGCCTGAACACCAGCTTTTCTTGTGCATAGATCCATTCAGTTGCCGAGGTCGACACCGGGGTGCGTGCATCGTTCCGCATCGGGATGTTTTTCAGCGCGCTGAGCTTAAGTGTGACAGTGCCCATATTTATGATCGGACTCGTGGCCATTTGGAGACGCTCTCGTTTGTGATGCAGCACCTCGGGCTATTTCGAGCTGTGGATGTCCTCACCGTCTCGTGGCGAAGCAGTACGCGGGCCTGGAGTTCTGCCAGCAGATTGCCTGTGATGTCGCTGTTCTCTCTCAAGTCCAGTAAAGTGGTACATGTGGCCCAGAGTGGCGAAGCGACTGCATGGGATGGCTTTGCCTCTCAGCTTCCGCGGCGTAGACCCACTTGGATGGGAGCCTCGCCGGCCAATGACGGACATGGCATTGTCAAGGGGTTTCGGAAGCTCCAGAAGTCAGCCCGCCAGCTGAGAAAACGAAGCAGCTGCCGCGCAAAAAGGCCTTTTTCCAATGTAGCTTGCATAAGACGAGAACTTGCTCGACCTTAGGAACGCTGCAGAAGTGTTTTTCCCCAGGAACTCAAATGGCAGCCGCCGCAGCTCCCCTGCGAGCCACTTCCGATGGTGAGTGGGCAGGCTGCATGCCTGCGCCTACACAGTTTCGCGAGGAGGGCTTGTTCTTGGATGGCTGTTCAGGTGATCGCCGTCGGCAAGATGAAGCTTAGGATTGGAGAGGCCCGCAGCGGGTCGCCCGTGCTCTTCGACCAGGGCGATGCTGTGTTATGCTTTGACAGGCAATCGGTGAGGGTGCATATGCCAGGGTCATGATCTCAGCTGCCTCTCTGCGAACTCTCCGGGTGAAGCCTTGCTTTGCAAGGTCTATTCGGCCGTCAGCCAGGATACGGGAGAGGAGGTCCGACGAATTACGAGCATATAAATATAGCATATCTCCGTATGCCCTTGGGCTCTTGATCCAGGTCGCTGTGAAAGAGATGCGCTGTGGACAAGGAGCCGGAATACTACCGGATGCGAGCGTTCAAAGGGCAATGTTCGAGGTGAAGGCTCGGGTGGACACACATCTTCAAGCCGTCTTCGCTCTCAGTACGGCTTATCACGTTTCTGACAGCGCTGAGGTCATGCGGCAGCTGACGAATGAATCAGATAGTGGTCATGCACTGAAGAAAGTCTGTCAAAGTATTGGTCTAGCAGATGCTTCTGTCACAGGTGGGTTGAGAGTTCCAAGTCTTCTCGACCACCAGCTTGACACCCAGCATTGCCGCGGTGTTGTCAGCTGGCGGATGCTGGGGGTTCCATGAGCAGGATTTGGGATTTGTCACCTGCAGAGCCTGGTGCATTCCTCTGCCGCGTGCCTGTCCAAGCCGCTGCAACAAAGGAATTTGAAACGCGTCTACAGATGTCTCCAACACGTCGGCTGCTGCGCAAGGTCGTCATGACACGGCGCAACGGACAAGCCCTGATCTCATGGCTTGAGGCAGATGGCTGAGCATTCGTTAAAGTGCTCTCTGAGCACAATCGACTCCCAGGAGCGCGAGCTACTTGTGGAGGATGCCAGGGTTCCCAGTTCGCCTTCGCAGTCACGGCCTCAGCTTAGTACTTGTCCCGAAACGGAACAGAGTGTTCCTGTGCGATTGGCAGGTACTGTACTTCGTTCCTGCATGCGGCAGCTGCCGCCAGGGACAGCCAAGCAGAGCTCATCATCCAAGACTCTAAGACTCTAAGCCCTCTAAGCCCTCTAAGCCCCCTCCAGCCTTCCTGGGTTTCGCGAAGCACTCGAAGACGGAGTCCCGGAGGAGCTGCTGCGGCAACTTGCGCCGACTTTCCGCGAATTGAACGGTGCCGGGCCCGGCCGAGTTTCTCAGGGATGCAGGGTAGCGGGGTCGCCTTGGAGGCACAAGGCACTTAGACATGCGTTGCGATGCTGTAGCTGTGTAGCTCGGTTTTCCATCTGACACCGTAGGCTCCTGCGTTGGTCTGTGATCCGTGACGAGCCCTCTTGGTCTGCTTCGTTGTCCTCTGAACCCGGGGATTGGCCGTTCAAGGTTTGGTCAGGCTGAGGGTTTCGGGCTTCTGGGTCTTAGCCTGCCGTTTGAGGGTTTGCGGGTTCCTTCCTATGATCTACTGCAGTATGCGAGGCTTTCAGTTTTCGCTTTGTGTGTTTAGAGGATCCATGTGCTTTTCTCGGTAGTGCGCTCGAAGCCAATATTAAGCGGTGTAGTTGCACTTATGGGGGTCCGACTTGTCGGTAACCTTTGCGCGTGGAATCGTCGGGTTTGGTCATGATGATAGAAGCTTGCGAACAAGATGCAGTGAGGAAATTTGCCCTCGCAGCTGCAGCATGAGCTCACTTTCGAAGCTTGAGCCTGCGAGTGCTGCGATGCAGGCCGCATCGCTATGCACCGCGATGTAAATGCAAGGCCTGAGAGAGAAACGTCGCACATCAGTTCGTGGTCGACCAGACTGCGCAGGAACCTTCTTGTCGCCTGCTCCGAAGCTCGACCTGGACCTGGCAAGGCGAGATGCGAAGATATGCGAAGATGCGAGACTGCTCCACTCTGCCTCTGAGGCCGGCGTGGCACCCTCTGAGGCCTCGGCTTTGGAGGCCCTCTACTTCTTCACATTCCCCCAAGTCAGCGAAGCTTTGCACCCTGAGTTCACCTTGCTGGACTTTGGCTCCAGCGTCGACTTCGGTGCCTGGAGCAGTGGCTCTGGCGCGGAGGTGCGAAGCCCGACGAGCCCATCTGCAATTTGACCCCGGCCTCCTGCTGGACATTTTGGCTCGTACTTGAGAACGTCCCTTAACGCAAGCGGTTCGAAGCAAACTAGAGCTAGACGCCAGCTCCCTGAGTTCGGTCACAGGGCTCCTGGAACTTCGAGAACCCGACCGGAGATGCGAGGACGGAAGCCCGGTGCATGAAGGGACAAGCAAGGTTGCTCCTGCATGTGAGTGGTGAAAGCTTGGCCGTTTGGCCTTTGAGGTACTGGGGCCCAGCCTCGTGGGTTCGATTCCTTCGCGGAGCGCAGGTTGCCAGTAGACGCCAAGAACTCCCACAGACGCTCGCCGGCTTTGCCCTGGTCCAGGCCCTGGACGGGAGCCTGGAAATGCAGCCCCGGGCTCGGGCTTGACATGGCTTGCAGCGGCTTGCCGTAGCTTGCCGTGGCTGGTCCACTGTTCCAGGTACTCCAGGCACTTGGACGGCTTTGCGTTGGCCATCTGTGCTTTGGAGGCACCCAGGGACCCAGAGTCAAGTAAAGACGTGCTACTATGACCGGCTGTGGGTTGTTGCAGAGTTTGCCATGCGATTGTTTGCAGACCCTTGCCAAGCTGCACACCGAGCGCTTTCCCATGGAGGCACTGAATGAGCAATCAGGTGTCGGCAGTTCAGCAGTCAAGCTTCAATTTCTTCGTTGACTTGCGTATGTACGCAGGTTAGGCATGACGGCGACGTCGCCTTTGGCAGGGAAATGCAGGCGCGGCTGACAGCTGCAACAATGCGTCGCTTGCGAAATTGATTGCCTTCATGAGTGGAGCTACGCATGGAATAGCTGTGAGGAGCTGAGTAAGAAGACCATGATCAGGGTTGGGCGATACTATACCTGCAGAAAGATGGCATGTCGGATCCCCGAAACTTGGCTGCTGTCGCATGGAGGTGGCTTTCTTGGATAGCATCCAGCAGTTCCACAATGCCTGGTCTGGAGCCATGTTTCCGCATGTCCCTGGCGTGCAGCAGTGCAGCACCTTTCCTTTGCAGTACTGTAGGCTGTTTACAGTTTGCCAAGGTCAAGATACTGGAGATTCGCAGTAGCCTCGTTCGAGAGTTTGGCCGAGCCACGTGCCAAGTTGAGGAGTCACACTCTTTGCTGGAGTGTAGGCCATGCGATTAGTATCGATTAGTACCCTCTGTGTTTCGGCGAAAACACCACCTAGGTATTCGCAGCTTGTCTGCCTCGGAGAGCAGCAAAAGGCGACCCAGGCCTGGAAGGACCCCGCAGGCTGCAAGTTTGTAGCCGGGTAGCTCCGACTGCTCTTGTGACTCTTGTGCATTCTTGTGCTGTGTCCTTCCCTGCTCTTCTGCTGTGCTCCTTCATCTTCAGTGTTCCAGAGTTTCTTTCCGGACTTGGCCGCCTTGGCCATGCGTTGGCTCGAGCTTCCTGGTCTCACGCCGCGCCGCCGCGACGGCGAGGCTGTTGTGGCTTCAGCCTTGTTTCGCTGTCGAAGTTCTTTGTTGGCCCGAGGGAAGCTGGCGGTCATGCGCAAGGACGCGAGCATGGTTAGGTCCGCCCCACCACGGTCCGAGGAAGTGTTTAATCTTCACCGCTCTTGCACTGAAGATTGAGGCCCCGGCTTTGGGGGCTCGGCAAAAGACTCAGAGCTGGTGGTAATGGGGATAGGTCGCTCCTCTACTCCAGATACCACCATCTGTCTGAGGTTGCGCAGCCATCCTGACCTTCAGCCTTGTCCAGGACGGGTGTCGAGGTATCTTCATGGTGGCCCCATTGCAAAGGCGACCTGTGTTTCAGGAGACAGCCTTCACTTCAAGCAGACTGCACAGAGCTTAGAGTTAGGCATGGTTAGGCTGAAGTTCTGAGGCCACACGTTTCAAGTTTCTTGCAGGGCGAAGAGGGCAATTTGCAAGATCGTGACAAAATGCATCAGGCCTAGACATGTTCTGCCTGCGGCCAGCCACATGGAGGTGGGTGAGTGCGTGCAGCGGTCCTGCTCAGCTGCTGTTGCCGGGAAGTTGTGTGTTCCGTCACCGGGGAGGATTATTACTGTACAAATTATAGCGACGTCACGCGACGTCACCCTGAAAATCTCCAAAATTAGCGACCGCAGTCTTCCCAAATTAAGCGAAATTAGCGACCCAGCCCTCTGACCCATTGGGCCGAGACAGGCAGGATTTCTGCTGGTTGGCACAAAATTTAAACAACGATATCGCTCGATTTCTGCTGCGATTTCTGCTTGTCGGCTTGAGCATTATTTGGCTCAGGACGGCTCGCTTTCCGCTTTTTGGCTTGTGGGATCCCACAAAAAGCACTATCTGGCCCAGATAGGCTCGTTTTCTGCTTTTTAGCTTGTGGGACACCAACAAAGCACTATCTGGCCCAGACAGGTTCGTTTTCCGCTTTTTGGCTTGTGGGACCCCCCCCAAAACAGCACTATTTGGCTCAGGACGGCTCGCTTTCCGCTTTTTGGCTTGTGGGATCCCACAAAAAGCACTATCTGGCCCAGATAGGCTGTTTTCTGCTGTTTAGCTTGTGGGACACCAACAAAGCACTATCTGGCCCAGATAAGCTCGTTTTCCGCTTTTTGGCTTGTGGGACCCCCCCCAAAACAGCACTATTTGGCTCAGGACGGCTCGCTTTCCGCTTTTTGGCTTGTGGGATCCCACAAAAAGCACTATCTGGCCCAGATAGGCTCGTTTTCTGCTTTTTAGCTTGTGGGACACCAACAAAGCACTATCTGGCCCAGATAGGCTCGTTTTCCGCTTTTTGGCTTGAGGGACCCCCCCAAAACAGCACTATTTGGCTCAGATAGGCTCCTTTTCTCCGCCTAAGAAAAATGAAAGATGGACTGCTGGATCCTTGACATTGCTGTCTTGAGTGTCAGTCCAAATTGACTTCCGGTAATTACCAGTACCACCTACACTGCCAACTGCTACCACTATAATTAATATTACTGTTTTTAATGTTGAGTCCCACAAGCCAAAAAGCTGAAAACGAGCGTATCTGAGCCAGATAGTGCTTTTTTAGTGGGCCCACAAGCCAACAAACAGAAAACGGGCCTATCTGAACCAGATAGTGCTTTTTGAGGATCTTACAAGCCAAAAAGAGGAAAACGAGCCTATCTGAGCCAGATAGTGCTTTTTTGGGGGGGTCCCACAAGCCAAAAACCTGAAAACACGCCACTAGCTATTGCTGCTTCTGCTGCTACTACGACTACCACTACCACTAGTACTACTAGTACTAATTACTACTACTACTACTACTACTACTACTACTGCTACTACTGCTACTACTGCTACTGCTACTGCTACGACAGCAACAACTACTACTCTACCACCACTACTACTACTACTACGACGACGACTACTATTGCTGCTACTACTTTTATTGCTACCACGACGACGACTACTACTGCTACTACGACTACGACAGTACTACTGCTACTACTACTGCTACTACTACTACCACTACTACTACTACTACTACTACTACTACTACTACTACTACTACTACTACTACTACTATTACTACTAGTAGTACCACTACTGCTGCTGCTACGACTACTACTACTGCTACTACTACTACTAATACGACGACTGCTATTACGTTTACTTCCTTTACCACGACGCCTTACCACTTCTGCTACTACTCTTGGCCACACAGCCCTCAGCCCGCTAATTTCGGGTGTGAAATTAAATAGCGACCGCAACGGAAATTATCCGAGACGTCACCGGCCTAATTTCGAATTGTATTTATTATAATTTGTGCAGATTATTAGCCATCAGGGTCGAGCCTTTCTCTAATAAGAGGCTTTGGCACCACGCAGGTGTCATTAAACGTGATGTGGCGGAGTTTTTGCGACCTGATGATGCATGGAAGTTCGACGCAATACAGATCAATACAGGACGACGTTGGCGCTTGAACTTTAAACCGCTTAATGCTGCTAAGGGCAAGGCTTCTTTGTTCGTGTTTGTCGCAAGGCCGGTGGTCGAGACCGAGTGGTGAGATATGCAGAGGCAGCAGCCGAGGAATCATGCTTTGATGACCCATGTTCGGTGCAGCTGTGGGCTTCAGCTGTCGGAGGCCTTCGATCCTTTCGGATGGAAGGGAGCTCTCAAAGACACCGTGGAGGGCCTCATGGACCCTGCAAGATGCCAGCATGTTGGCGTGTCAGGGAGACCTGAGCCTTTGAGCTTCTGGACACCTTCCGGCTAGGACAGCCTGGGCACGGATGAAGAGCCAGGGCCGTAAGTCGCCGTGAAGACTCTCAGCACTTCTCTGATGCAGCACATGCCATCCCCCTTCTTTCAGCTACCAACAAGGCCCAGCAGGGAAGAGGAGCAGATGGTCGTAGAGGAGTGGGCAAGATGCAGTGATGCGAGTTCTGCAGTTCTACAGCAGGGATAATAGAAACGCGTTTCAAAACATGTTGCTATGAACATGAGAGCCGTTGTGCTGTGCATGTGGGCACTGAGCCAGCTTCTGTTGCCGCTTGGCTCGAAGCAGCAGTGGACAAGGTCAGGGGGGCCGTCCCACCGAGTCCGCTTAAAAATCGTCTACTCCCCAGTTTGTGCTCATCCCACGCATTTCAGCAGCAAGCATCCTTGGATGATTCATAAGGCATAACCCTATAAACCTACAAAAAGAATCTGTGCTGGGCTTGGCATCCGAGATCATTGCAGCTGTCAGTCCGTGTGTTATTGTGCTGCTGGGAGACTCTCAGGTTTCTCCATTCTCAGAAGCGCGTGCTGCGTCCGAGGCAGCGCTCTGCACTGAGGCCAAACAAGAGAGATAGAGCTCTCATAAGCACGGCTGGAGACGCATTGGCATTGAGCGCGTCTGTCCGAGAGGCCTCTTCAAAGCGTTCACTTCTCCTCACTTCTCCGCCTAAGCAACTTGGACAGATTGCGATAGATGGAGCAAGACTACAAGGAGTAACTTGTCTGAGTTGCACCAGGCAGACATGGCGGGCGTGACATGGCTGCAGTTGTTGTTGCAAGGCCTTGATTGTTCCGACGAGTTGCTTGGGGCTCCTGAGGTACCTCAGTTTGCATCCTTGTGCGCCACGGATTTGATGCTTTCGTTACACCATCTGCCCAGACCCACCGAGCTTCGCGTTTTTTTTGCCAGGTATGTGGGTGACCTGCACCCTGATGTCACTGAGGTGCTGTCAGTCTGTGCGAGGTTTGCGGAGTAAATTTGTGACCCCTCCGACAATTCGGCTGAGGCGATGCTTTACGAGATCTTCAACTCCGTTGGGCCCGTGGCGTCCATCCGCGTGTGCCGCGACAGCGTCTCCCGCAAGTGCGCCGGGAGACGAGAAAGAGCGAAAGCGACCAGAGAGTTTAAGCAAGAGCCAGTCATGTGGCGGCTTGTTAAAATCGACTGAGCTTTTTTATGCATTCTTCATGCCAGGTCTCTTGGTTATGGCAGCTTGACAGAACATTTTCACGTGATTCTTGGTCTCCTTGGTTGCGGCGGTTGTTGACCGAGCAAGAGTTGTTGCCAGGTTATGTCAACTTCCACAGTGTTTCTGATGCTGAACGTGCCCTGGACACGCTGAACTATTCAAGCATCAAGGCTTGCATTGCTTGTGTAACATTTCGTGGAGACTCTGAAAACTCCGTCGCAGGGCCGCGCATGCCGCATCATGTGGTCCCAGCGTGACCCCAGCCTCCGCAAAAGTAATGGCCTCGGATGCAGAGTACTCGCACTGGCGACTACAAGTGGAGGGGCTTGAGCCGGGAGCTGCGCTCACCAGGTGGCCTTGGCAATGTTTTTGCCGGGAGCTGTGCGCCGTGTGAGTGATCATGATCATACTGTATTTGGTCCACCCTTCTGCAGTGGCCACGAACTGAAGAAGACGAAGTGAAAGACAGCTCAGTCGGAATCCAGGTCCGAAACTTGGACAGGAACATCGACAACAAGGCTTTGTACGATACCTTCAGCCTCTTCGGCAACATCCTCTCCTGCAAGGCAAGAGAGAGCGTCCCTTTGAAGGATGCTTTTAGATTATTGTGCTGGAGGTTTGCACCGGGCCAGATGGTAAGTCCCGCGGATACGGTTTTGTCCGCGGCCGAGTTTTCTCAGTTTTAAGCACAGGTCGTGTGCTTCTCTTCTTGTAGTAACACGTAAGTGGGCGTTTTCGGAAAGCTTAGAAGCTTCGAAGGTGCATTACGAGACCGAAGAGGCGGCCAAACAGGCCCAGGGGGACGAAAGGGACGAAGCGAGGCTTGCTGGAGATTTCTCTGTTCCTCTGCAACGAGCTTCTCTGGTTGGCAAAGAGCTTCTGGGTTTTGGAACAGTTTGGAAGATGCTGCACGGCTGAGTTCAGAGCAGCTTGGGGCGGGCTTGAGTGATCTATTGGCAGCAGCAGTCGTAATCCGGCAAGTGCGCAGATGGCAGGCCATTGAGCGCGTCGACGGCATGCAAATCGGGGAAAAGACGGTCTGCGGCCTCAGGATGCAGTTCCATGTCCAAGCAGTGATGCCAGTGATGCCACAAGATCCACGGCGAGCCATGTGCCCGTAGGTTGGAGTGTCTGGCTTCGTGAAGCGCCAAGATCGCAGGGAGCTCAGGGTATCCCAACATGAAACAGTGCGTTGCACAGCACATGTGCAGGAAACATGCTCTGTCGCCTGAGGTGAGAAGCCAGCAATGAACACCTTCACCAATGCGGGGAGCCAAGACAAGAGACGTTGACAAGCTTTATCTTCGTTTCTGTCCGACTGAGATTTACATCAAAAACTTCCCTGACGACTGGGACGAGGACCTTGCTGAGCTGAAGCATCTCAGAAAGAAGCTGGAGACAAGTGGAAGTTTGTGCATCCTCACTTCTTAGTTTTCAACCATTGCATAACGGTCTATTCCAGAGGTTCTGCTGACCCAAACAGAGCATGCATAATTTCATAATCTCGTGCTGCCCTAGGACAAGCTCAAGGCGGAGTTCGCACCCCACGGAACTGCTGGCAGCTCATTTTTTCAGCACACGGTGCACCTGGACTTGATACAGTATGCAAGTTTAATACAGAGATCTTTTCATCTGTTTTGCCAATCCGTGCCTGACCCGGCGCTCAGATCACTTCCTCTCATGTGACGACCGATAACAAGGTGCAAAAGCCTGCCTTTGGGACGCTTTGAGACTTAGACTCAGACCGATTCTGCCGGTCAGGGCCGTAAGTCTGCCTTCCTCAACTACGAGAGCCACGACCAAGCTATTCAGGCTCTGATTGGCCGCAACGCGAGTGCAAGGAGTAGATGCAAGAAGGGACCTGCCTGCAGGCTATCAGTGCTATGCACCAGAAGGATTGCCGCACTGATGAGCAGAAGGAAGCAGACAAGGACTTGCTCTGCATCTGGCAGCTGCTTCTGACATGCCACTTGCAAAGTTCTGCTGCAAGACCTCCGAGCACGCGTCTCCAAACTCGAGAAAGTCCTGAAGGAAAAGGAAGAGGAAGAGAAGGATCGCACAGAAAAGAGCAGCTGGGCTGCAACCGCGAGAACTCAACTCTCCCTTCCGAGAGCTGCGAAACGAGCGACGGCCCCCGCACCGCAGTGCAGCAGGCTACTTGCTCTACGTTGCCCGCGCACAGTCCAAGTACGAGCGCCAGATGGAGCTCAAGGCCGGCTTAATAAAATGGGGCCCAGGGCAAGCAGTGCAGGGGAGTGACCGGCTGTCGAAGGAGAAGATGCCGCCAAAGGATCCGGCGGCCGGACAGTCACGTTCGCAGGGTGTCAACCTGTACATTAAAAACTTGGCCTGGCACTGAGACTGGCGGAAAAAGGGGAACAATGGTGCACAACGGGACATTTCAGGGAAGGAGAAGCCCCGTGACAGCTGAGGATGAGGCCACAGATGACGACTCCTTAAAGGCTCTTTTCGAACCCTTTGGCAACATCACGTCGGTGGTTGCTATGAAGGAGACCAACTTGCAACATCTTGCAACATGTTCAGTTTGGGCAATGCCTGATGGCGGGTACTCTGAACAGGAGGGTAATGGCAAGTGCAAGGCAAGATCAGTGGCAATGAGACGCAAAGTTGAGGGCTGCACCTCGCAGTTCACCTGATATAGCCGTGACTGCATGACCCGGGCAGGGCTTCGGCTTCGTGTGCTTCTCCTCTCCGGACGAAGCCACCAAAGCTGTTACCGAGATGCACCTCAAGGACGGAGCTACTTCTCTATAGTGCCTGAGGGTCTGGGATTCGGGGACCCGGCTTTCCATGACAGGTCGTGAAGGGAAAGCCTTTGTACGTGGGCCTGGCAGAGAAGCGTGACGTCCGAGCCGAGCGCCTGCGTGGCCTGGCCCGACGGCATATCTTCTCGGTTTGGGAGTCAAAAATCAGCCGAGGTCAGCGCTACTCCCCTGGCGGCATGGGAGGAAAAGGCATGGGAGGAAAAGGAAAGGGTGGAAAGGGCGGCATGGGCATGGGCGGCATGGGTATGGGTGGCAACCAGATGTACGGCAACCCGATGGGTGGCATGGGTGGCCCCATGGGAGGTCCGCCAATGATGGGCATGGGTGGCATGGGCAAAGGCAACATGATGGGCCAGGGCGGACCGAATCCTGGAATGATGGGCCAGAAGGGCAAGGGCATGCCCAACATGCCAATGAACCCGCAGATGATGGGAATGGGTGCGATGGGCAAGGGCATGCCTGGTGCAATGGGAATGCCCGGAGCCATGGGCAAAGGAGGCATGCCGATGCCAATGGGACCCATGGGCCCAATGGGCCCCATGGGAATGATGCGACCTGCCATGCCTCAAATGCCGATGATGCGCCCAGGCCGGATGCTCGTTCGGTCGATTTGCCGCAAAGAGGCATGAGCGGCCCTTTGCGAGGCATGCCTACCCCAATGCCGCAGCCGACGCAGCCGACACCCGCCGCCAACCCAGGCGTGGAGCTTGGGGATCGTGCTTCGTCGGCTTTCTCGCTCCGTGCACAGCAATTGCTCTGGTTTAGTGAGGATCTGGGCAGCAACTGACAGCTGCAGCCCTTGCCGCTGCTGCACCGCCAGCGGGATGCCCAGTTTTGTCCTTGTAGCAGTACCTCTGTCAATCAAGGCATGTTACACGCGTTACTGTTTGTCAGCAGCCAGAAGAAGGACACGGTACAGCGAAACATGCAGCGGCAAAGACGGTAATCTAGCTGCAGCAGTAGCAGCAAAACGCCGTGAAACGCAAACCAGCGGAAACAAACTCAGCTTCGGAGTTAGTCTTGCTGTGCCCGGATGATAGCATTGTATATTCTTTCAGAGGCGTGCCACCAGCTTGCAGCACAGATTACTACCTATCCGATAGTCTGCCGATGCACCCGTGGATGACCATGCTGACGAAAATGGTTTAGAACTAGTGTCAGGTCACAAGGAGTCGTCTGGTGGTCTGGCAGTCTGGCGATCACGTTCATCTGGGTGGGCAGCGAACCATGGGTGGAGCATTGACACCGCAAGGCTGTACATAGCTGGACAAGGATCAGAGGCAGCCTGTCGGGTTGCATGCGTCTCGTTGATCATGAGCGAGCTTGTGTGACCCCGTCAAACCTTTCAAGGACAATCTTGCCACCGAGCGCCCCAATTTCCAAGGGCAGCGGGCCTTATCCCCCAAACCACGACCCAAACATGCCCGACTCCGACTCTCTGAATTGTGAGGGCCGGAACAAGAAGAACTGTCGCGAGGATGCGGCCGCACACAACCGGCGAGTCAACGAGCGAAGTAAATAAGAAAGCATGTTGGCAGTGTTGACTGTTGTCGGCAGGAACAGAATCCAGAGTCCCAACGAAACATTGACGTTCAGGACGTGAATTGAAGCACGGAGCTCCAACACAGACCCTGGTACAGCTTCAGGAAGCACAGAACGTCGAAGCTTCAGGCAAGCAAGAGCGAAGCTCCGAAGCACTGTGCGTCATGCTCAAAGCATCAGGCGAAGCGCGAAGCTGCGAAGCACAGAATGTCAGAGTTTCATGGGGTTTCCGAACCTCCGAAGCAGTCTGCATCAGAGCTTCAACGGAGACACAGTGCGTCAGAGCATCAGCCGTTTAGTGACCAACGCGAGGTTTCTCTCAGATGAAAAACCCAATGAAAGTCGAAGCGGGAGACCGGCTTGTCTCCTTGGTTGCTGAGCAAGGAAATCTGCAAAGATAGATGCAGATGTCATTTCCTCAAACTTTCTGAGTGGTCCGTGCCATATGGCCATATGGCTTGTGACAACTTGACAGGGCCAGGAGTCTGTGTGCGAGCTTGTGTTTCTGGCTGCTTTTCCACTGTTGATCGTGGGTTGCAAAGCACTAGTTTCCAGAGATGCAGACCAATAATGTTTCACACAGATGATCGGCTCGTGGACCTGTCACTGCTCAGATCGCCTCAGGTGCAGAAGCAGCTGATTGGCGAGCGTCTGTTCCCGGCGATCTCCAAGTACCAGCCAGAGCTGGCAGGTAAAATCACAGGCCTAACCCTAAACCCTAAACCCTAAAACCTAAACCCTAAACGGACTGGTAGGAGCGGCGCAACGAAGGGACCCGCACAGCCCTCCCTCCAGGCATGATGCTCGAGATGGACAACTCTGAACTGTTGATCTTGTTGGACAGCGAGCCCCAGCTCAAAGCCAAGGCTTGACGGCGGAAGAAACTGGGCGGTGGTTTGGGGCCTTTATTCCAGCTGCCGTGCTTTGCAGGTGGACGAAGCAATGCGTGTGCTCGAGCAAGCCAAGCCGCATGAATTGCAAACAAAGCTCTGCCCCAGGAGTAGCCTACGCATTAGCGATTGAACTCGCGAGTGTGGTGTGTATCTCCAGCGGCCACAAGTAAAGGACCTGATTTGTGGGTCGGTTGGGCAGCCTTTAATCCGCCTCACCCAGGTAAAGAGAACAGCGCGCGGACCTCGGAATACGTTTCCGAAGCGGTTTTCAAGGCCTGCGAATCAAGATTCGGAGCCCCTCTCAGGAAAGCCGAATGCGCTGCATCCAGGACGAGTTGATTCTTGTGTAGCCAGAAGTTCTCCCTACAAAGGCTGGGCAATCTGTCTCTTCGTGATTGCAGGAGAGAGATGCCCTTTCGTTCGAAGTGACATATGTGACAGCTTTGGCAAGACCTTCCGGTACCCTTGACAGCCCTCTTTCTCGAAGTGCCATAACATGTGCTCTCTGATGTGGGCAGCGTTTTGTTACTATGATGTCTTAACAGTGGCACGGTGGCAGCAAGGTTGCGTGGGACAGGTGTATTCAGCTGTCAGTGAATGGCACGGAAAGATGACTGCTCCGGGGAAGCGTGACTCCTCCAAGCACGCAGAACCATGAGATTGGCTTAGTATACTTCTTTGGGCATGCTGGCCCGCGGCAAGTGTGAAGTACGCCAGCTGTTCTGAGTCACAGTCCAACCTGAAGGATCCTTGTCAGTGCTCCGGGCAAGGGCTTGGAAGATTACACAGACGGGAATCCAAAGGCAGAGACTTCACACCACGGCCGCCTTAGGCATTTGGACTGACAGGCCCTAATTTGTGGGCAGCATGGGATTTCCATTCGCACCTTTTTTGCCTCGTGTCTCACCCGTATCTGCTGGGCAGCCGCAAGCTCTAAGCCGAAGAGCTCACTTTCTCACAGACGCTGACATTGCGGTGATTCCGGCTGGCAGGTGGGTGCTAGATGTCCAACATGTCTTCTCTACCGGGCTGGGGCTGGTGTGGCTTGGTACCGCACCAGCGCAGATGATCGCGGGTTTTCAAGCCTTTACTTGGAGCTCGCAGTGCACTCGCCGTGCCTTTCTAGCACCTTGTGGACCTTGTAGCTACAACCATCAGAAAACAGGGCGAAGTGCACTGAGTGAACTTCACCCGGCTCAAAGACTCTAAGGATATAAAGGTGCGTCTTTAAGGAGGACAGCGATGTGAAAAAAGGGTCTAGCTTGCTGAAGCCCTGAAGAGCCTCAAGCCGTACAGTGGCCGCAGTGGGTTTGGAGAGCCGTGCTTTGTCAGATCTTCGAGAAGTTCGACACAGACAAAGATGGCATCCTGAACTTGAAAGCGCGGAGCCCAGACTCTCCATATTCTCCATTCAGCAGCTTGTCTCAGATCTCTCAAATGGAGCCACTGTTGCGTTTCTTTGTGTGCAGGAGTTCAACGAGCTCCAGGTCAGCACCGAAGGTGGAGAGGCCATGTACAACAGCGACCAGCTCAAGGCCTGCAAAGCTTAGGGCTTTTGGGCTGTTGGGCATCCTTAGACTCCAGGCTTTTAGGCTCTTGGGCAGACTTCGGTTGGCCACAGTGACACTGGCGCCTGCCTCCGCCAGCAACTGCTCATCGCCGTGAATCCTGACGTGAAGGCTCCCGAGAAAGGCGCCTCGAAGGGCACTTTGCCGGTAGAGGGGTCGCTTGTGACTTCTATCGGGTGTCACTTGTGACTTCTGTGCCGGTGTCCGGTTCCAGGTTGCTAGGCCCTGCTAGGCTTGAGGAGCTGAACTCGTTGCAATTCCTTTCTTTTCTTTGCCTCTGATCATGAGGCATGCCTTTTTCAGACTATCGCAGACTCTACTTGGAGGGTGGCCTACGACGGGTAACCGCCCCCTGCCGGTGTGCTGCTAGACTCTGCATCTTAGCCTCTTGCTGTGTCGTGCACTACAGAGCCGTGCACGCTTTTGCAGCCACTTCGGCTGCATGAAGTGGAAAATCAGGACATACGAAACTGCCTCAAGCTCTCAGCACATGTCTCATTGCCAACACGCTGGTAACCCATGCTGGCCCTGCAAGAGACACTTGGATGAGTTGTAGTATTCACACAGCGATGGCTTGGCATCCTTGGCATGATGTCGGCAGCCTCACTGGGCTACCACCATCGGCGCACTTCCCCATGCAAGTGCACACAGCGCGTTCTTGCGGCTTGGACTCGTTTGGGTCTCCTCTACTTCTTGCCATAAAGCTGTCTACTGTGAACTTAACGACTCCTTGTTGGAATCCTCCCGCAGCTGGTGGTCTCAGGTTGCAGTGCTGATCATGCTGGCCTTGCAGGACAGTGATTAGCAATCATTCGCATGAATAGCACGTCTCCGCGTTCCTTCACGCTCACTTCACGTGCTTGTTTCCTTTGCCTCCTCGTGTGGCCCCAATGACAGGGGAAGGTCGCTGGGATGGTGCCGCAGCTTTCGTTCACGATGCCGAGGTGCTATGTATGCATGCAGCAGATACACTCATGAAATTTCGCAGGGTTCGTTCGTCGGGTTTCACTTTATTTCCTTTTTTGCCCGCTCAGCGCCTGCTCGCCGGCGATGGCCTTTGAGCCCTCCACTGGTGAGTAAGGGTCGATTACAGGTGCCTCCTTCAGAGACAGGAAGGATCTGTTCGATAGATGCGCATGCGACGCGTTGGGGATTTTGCGGACGGGGGCCCTCTGGGACTTTCGACCACAATTCCAGGCTGTCGGTGCACCGCCGTATGGGGTCTTGTTTCCAGCCCGGCGTGCGTTTACAGGAAGCTTTCGGACCCTCGCTCTAGACATTTCCATGCCCAATCAAATAAAATCAAACCCCATGCACCTTATGTTTCAGATGCATGCTGAGTGGATCTGAGTGGCATAGCTGATTGTTGCCTCCACTTGACATAACAGGACACAAGGCTTCAATCAAGGCTTCCACTCGCATTGTTGATGTCACTATCTTCTGCCTCAGGTCATCTCGCCCCAGCGGTTACGGCTTCAGAGACCATCCAGGCTTGCTTAAGTGAGCGAGCAAATCACACACCAGTGTTGAGAGAGCCGGGCAAAAATTTCACATGAAAGCCGACAGACACTGGCGACATGAGGAGTGTTGCCTCAACGAGGGACTGTGGTCCGCCATGGGCTACGGCAAGGCGGAGCTCTCAATATCCGCTAATTTTGATTGAGTAGTCTTTACCAAATGCCGGGCTTCAAACGAGAGGTGAGGCTGCCTCTCTCGCTCTCGCTCTCTCGCTCTCGCTCTCGCTCTCTCGCTCTCTCGCTCTCTCTCCCTCCCTCTCTCTCTCTCTCTCTCTCTCTCTCTCTCTCTCCCTCTCGCTCTCTTTCACATGTCATGATGCAGTCAGCGTCTGCTGCAGTGTTCGGACATTGCAGAAACCGCGCCCACCACTCTGCGATCCCTCTTAGTGTAATTTGTCTTCCTCACATCTGCACCGATCCACGATCACATCGTGACTAAGAGTGGCAAGGCGTTTGTGCCTGAGAATGTGGATCGTCGTGTCCGATTAGGTTTAACGCAAGAAGTTGACAAGAAGCACATGAGGCACTCGCGAGCTGTTGCACTGAGTCGTACTTCCGTCTTTTTGAGCTTCGCTTTTCGTGGTTTCTGTCTGCTTGGCTTCTGTGGGTTTCTGTTTGTCAGCTGCTGGCACCCGAGTAGGGTTTCCAGAATTATTTCGGAAGATTTTGCTAACATCATCAGTTTGATGTTTGCTCTCAGTATCCTCGTTGTTATTTTGGGCATTGTGTTACTTGTAGCAGTTACAGTAATTGGTGTTGTGTTAACGGGTCTTTGTTGTAGTTGCACAATGGTAGCTAGTCACGATGTGTTCCTTCCTTTTGCTGTCATGAACTGATGCGGTTCGCATTATCTTTATCATGATGTGCAACGACGGTCGTTTGTAGCATTGTAGCGGCTGCCGTTACTCTGTGATTTCTACTTTTGTTACCCGTACAAAGATCAAGGGGTTGTTGTGACCGTCGGCGCATGTTTGCACTACCTTCTGTGTGTCTATTGTCATTGCCATCATTTGTGTTTGCTATTCTTGCTGCTACTGTTGCCAGCATTCCTTTGGTTCCTGTGTCTGTTGCGGTGGCTCGCGAGAGTCAAACGTCGATCGGCAACATTGTTCATCGTGAAATTGTGTTGGCTTGTATGCTGTTACCCATTTCTGTTTATACTGCCATTAGCTGTGTTTAGATGTGTTTGTTTTCGCGAAAGCGTCGCGAAGGGTTCTTCCGTGCGGAGCCGGGTAGACAAGTACATAGATGACAAACATAGAATCGAGCACATGACCTTATGACTTGACACTTGAGTCTACGACTCTATGACCCTATGACTCTATGACTCTAAGACCGAACTTGACTACTCTTGACTACTCTATGACTCTATGAACTTGAGGACTCTGTGACTTACTCACTTGACTACTCTATGACTCTGTGACTTACTCTGTGACTTACTCTGTGACTTACTCTGTGACTTACTCTGTGACTTACTCTTGACTTACTCTGTGACTTACTCTCTTACTCTCTGACTTACTCTCTGACTTATGACTTACTCTGTGACTTTCTCTCTGACTTACTCTCTGACTTACTCTCTGACTTACTCTGTGACTCTACTCTCTGACTTACTCTCTGACTTACTCTCTACATCTCGGTATCTAATCTCTCTTCTAAAGCCAGGGGTGGCACCGTCGTCGTCCATCGGGAATGCAACCCTTCACAGGGATTGGCCACCTCGAGCGCCCAAACGCTAGGTAAAGTTACACATTTTAGGGTTCCCGCGCAACCCTTCCCAGGGATTCGCCTCCTCGGGCGTTCAAACGCAAGGTAAAGTTACACATTTTTATGTGCGCTTCGCACCCTTCCCAGGGATTCGCCTCCTCGGGCGTTCAAACGCGAGGTAAAGTTACACATTTTTATGTGCGCTTCGCACCCTTCCCAGGGATTCGCCTCCTCGGGCGTTCAAACGCGAGGTAAAGTTACACATTTTAGGCGCCCGGCACAACCCTTCCCAGGGATTGGAACTCTCGAGCGCCCAAACGCTAGGTAATTAGGCGCCCGGCGCAACCCTTCCCAGGGATTCGCCTCCTCGGGCGTTCAAACGCGAGGTAAAGTTACACATTTTTGGCGCGCCGCGCAACCCTTCACAGGGATTCGCCTCCTCGGGTGTTCAAACGCGAGGTAAAGTTACACATTTTGCGGGCGCCGCGCAACCCTTCACAGGGTTTGGGCGCAGCTCAACTGCATTTTGTAACCCTTCACAGGGATTGGCATGGTCGAATGCACGATCGCTAAGTAAAGTTGCATTTTTTGATGTGCATTGAAATGAATTTTGCAACCCTTCACAGGGATTGGCGTGGTCGAGTGTTCGAACGCGAGGTAAAGTTGCAATTTTTGATGTGCATTGAGATGAATTTTGCAACCCTTCACAGGGATTGGCGTGGTCGAGTGTTCGAACGCGAGGCAAAGTTGCAATTTTTGATGTGCATTGAAATGAATTTTGCAACCCTTCACAGGGATTGGCGTGGTCGAGTGTTCGAACGCGAGGTAAAGTTGCAGTTTTTGATGTGCATTGAGATGAATTTTGCAACCCTTCACACAGATTGGCGTTGTCGAGTGTTCGAACGCGAGGTGAAGTTATTACTTTTGATGTGCATTGAAGTGAAACTTGCAACCCTTCACAGAGATTGGCGTTGTCGAGTGTTCGAACTAGTACTAGTACTATTACTACCACTACCACTACTACAACTATTATTACTACTACTACTACTGCTACTACTACCACTACTACAAAAGAATACTACTACTACTACTACTACTACTGCTACTGCTACTATTACTACTACTACTGCTACTACTACTAGCACTACTACTACTACTACTGCTACTACTACTACTACCACTACTACTACCACTACTACTGCTACTGCTACTACTGCTGCTACTACTACTACTACTAGTACCACAACAACAACTACAACTACAACTACTACTACTACTACTACTACTGCTGCGACATAAAGTGACCATGCATAGAGTCATAGAGTCACGTTGAAACCACAGTAACAGGGATGTCTATATAGTGAGGTTCCGGAGCTAGGAAAGGAAGACTTCTGCGTCATGTTGGACTATACCCTAAACCCGCTAAACCTGAACATTAGTGTTCATAGAGTGAACTACATCAAGTCAAGTGCGTGGTACATAGATGACTCCATGACTCTATGACTCTTTCTCACTCTGACGCTATGACTCTATAACACTATGACTCTATGATTCTGTCTCACTGTGACTCTATGACTCTATATGACTCTATGACTCTTTGAACTATGACTTGTGCTTGACATGTACTCGACTCTATTTCTCGATGACTCTATGAACTATGACTTGTACGACTCTTGACTATATGTGACACTCCGACTCTGTGACTCCGTGCTTTTGACTCGGTGACTCTATGACCCTATACACTGGATTCTATGACGTAGCGCAACACTCTTCGCTGATGATGCTTTCGGGCCAATTGTCTTCTAGTTTGAATTGTTGAAGATTCTGAAAGCCAGAACCAAAGATGTTTCTGTCACTTTTCGTGTATCTACGACTGCAGACTGCAGAGATTCTCTGAGTGCTGCTTTTGCCCCTGATCCTTGCACCTGGCAGATGGTTTCTCGTCACTACCGTACTTGCTCTTGTTGCTGGATGCGAAGCCCTGCACCTCAAAAGGAGTGTTGGGTCACGAGACCCGAGATTACTGGGTCGGGTGTGTCTCTGTCCTCGCAAGTGCAGCCATGTGCAAAGAGACTGCTGCTAGTGTTTTCGATGTCGACTGTTTTCTCCCCAATCATGCCCTTCCACTTGTCAGGTTAGGGATTGCCACCAGAACCGGTTGTCGCTTCTTCTCTTGCCGGGGCACTTCTTGGTGGTCAAGCTTCGTTACAAGCTCTTTGTGATAGCGCTTAGCTCTTTGACCTTTTCTTGAACATCTGGTGGTTGCTCGGCCACCGAAAACAAAGATCCTGAGCTCGAACTGCTTCCTCAGGGATTGCACGCTTCTTGGTGTATTATATACTCGGTGCAGTGCAATACACCTGTTGGTTGGGTTTCGCAATGGTGCTGACCAATGGATCTGCATGCTTTTTGTTGACAGAACTTCCATGCACGATAGGAGTACTCCAGCAATACATGGGACGGAAGTGTGAGAAACAGGGAATCGCCACACATTCCACCTCTCCTACGGGTGTTTTACTCCCACCGTCGGAATGTTGGCTCTGTTAAACGTTCATATTTCAAGGCACGAGCGATCGTTGACGCTGCCTGTCTCAAATTCTTGAGCCAGCAAAAGCTACCCCCAGCAGTTAGTGCTAGCAGGCCTTGTAGAGTGTGAACAAATGCCATCCACTGCCATCGTGAAGCGCCATGAAGGAGACTCCCCAAGATCCGAGCTTCTGTGAGGCTTCAAGCGTCTCCTTCAGTGGAAGCCGGTCGTTGGGAGAGAAGAAGAAGGGCAGGGCGAAGAGGGCGACGAGCTTGCGAATCTCTACGACCCAGCGGACCGAGCAGCCTGGCCTCCGCCGCCACCCTACCTGCAGGCGCGGTGATGCGACGGAAGCCGAAGGTCCTGACATGTCCGCCGCTTCCCGTTGGAGGCAGATGTCAACGAAAGCGAAGTACTGGAGGAGCTGGTGCCGGAAGTTCTTGACGATGCCGTGGAGAAGATGCCTCCAAAAACAGACGTCTACACGCGGGAGACTCTCGGTTGCAGATTGATCAATCACGGCAGGATGCGACAGGCCACTGCAAGCAAGGTACTTGCAGTTTGTAAGTTTTCCACCAAATCAGAGTTTGCCATTCCTTGCGAGGCGCCAGTTCTGGCGGTGGACGGGTGCCTTGGGCTGGTCCTTGAACTTCATCCTGCTTTGCTGGGCCTTGTTCCTACGCAAAGCTGGGCTGGTGAACCAGGGCCCGCAGGAGGAAGCGCTAGATATGGAGTCTCAGAGCCTGAAAATCGACTCGACGACATATGCCGACTTGTTGGCAAGTCAATTGCAAGAGGAAACGTACGTTCCCTGGCGGCCTGGGATCAGCTTTGGATTGCTAGCAGGAAGAAGCATGCAAAAGAGATCCTGGTTCTCCCTGATTCCGTGCAGGTTACGGAGTCCAACAATGCTTTGGGAACAATCCTGCAAAGCCTTGGCTCCAAATTGGAGTCTCTGCGCAACGGTGCCGAAAGGCTAATGAAGCCAACAGATGAGGGGCTACCCCGCGACGATGATGCCACAGCCTTAGTTAATGGCATACAGTGCGCATCGTCAAGCCCTGAGGCACGCAGACTTGTAGTAGCGCAGCACTACCAATTAACCTTTGTGCTGGTGAAAGGTCTTTTGCTTTTATGTTCCTGCCTGACTAAGGTTGTGCTGTCAGGGCTGATCCGCGACCTGCAAGCAGGCATTGAGGACGGAAGCTTTGTTTCCAAAAGCTTCTAACTTGCTGCCGCAAGCTTATCTAGCCTGCGACGCACCCATTGAGCTCTGAAGGACCAGCTGGAAATTCTGGGCAACAAGGATGCTGAAATATTGCCGAAGCTGCAGCAGAAGCCAGAGATCCTGAGCCTGACTATCTCATGCTTTTTTCCTTTTCTACTTGCCCCAAGCAACAACCCCAAAGCATAAAATCTGAACCCTGAGCCCTGAGGGTCTCAGCCCTCTTCCAGCTCTAGGATGCTGCGGCAATTGGCAGACGAGCCGATGCCAACTCCTGAGCGTCCGAACAACGGATTGCTACCAGAGGACTGGAGGCTTCTGGAATACTTTTGGGCCCGGTATCGGAGATCGAAGGTGATTACAGGGGTCCGTCAGATTAGAGATGCTATGGTTCCAGGAATCGTTTTGCTTAACAGAACACAGAATCTGCATTCCTGTTGGCTCCGACCTCCACAGATGTCCAGGTATCCGAGATGGTGTCGGGAGTTGGCGGGAGACAGTTTGGGTTTAGGGAAACTCTTTGTGCAGGAGCTGCCGCAGTTCGTCGAGCAGTCCTTGGTTCCCATCGTGGTGATCCTGGGGTCCTCATTCCTCGTGGCGGTTCTCTCTCGGCAATTCCTCCGTGTTGCCACTGAGTGGAGGCGAAGTAGAGAGGAAACTAGAGCCGAGAGGATACGAAAGATCCAGACGCTCAGCCGCAATGCAAGTGCGAAGCGAGGCTTGAGACGGAGGTTGGCGATCCCGCGTGGCACCGAGGAAGCGCCGGTTTCAAGCGTTCACCGGTGTTATCAACGGTGCGCTGGAGAATCTCGCAAAGGGCGAGTTCTCCAAGGCAGGCAAGTGTCAAGTTTGATTCGGTAAGCGATGAAGTGCCACCACAGACAACGGTCCTTTTAGATTGTTGTACAGAGACTTAAACACTGCGCATGAATCGAATACCTGGGCATCGAACATTCACCGGCTTTCAGGCTGCTGAGGGCTTCGACCAGGTCGCGAACTTTGCAAACCGTTGGGCATCAGAGCCAACGTGGGAGGAGCATCGGATGGAAATGGTGGAGCAGAACATGAACTCAATTGGTAGTTTCCAAAAATAGGGGAGCCTAATATAGTACCCTGAATACTAGGATCCTCATTGTAAGGACCCTCAAATAAGGTACCCCCCCAATTGTCGGAAACTCTAAACCCTAAACCCAAACCCGAACAAGAACTCATTTTGTTTCTGTTTATGGCGAGGAGCTGCTTCGTGTTGAAGTCCTCGCCTTCTGGGAGCGCTGGGGACCACAGGCAAGCGCCCCCGCTGACACGCGGTAAATACATTGACGATCGCGAGTATGTTGTACTATGTCATATTATACCATACTACATTATACTATAGTATAATATATTATAGTATATTATAGGTGAGAGCGCCTGGTGTGCGTCCTGTACGTCCCCTCACTTTTTTTGGGTGGGGGGTGGGGGGGGCTAATTCCGGCCAGTCCCGACCCTTAACCCCCAGAACTGCGGACTTCTGTCGCAGGCAGGCCCAAGCTCTAGTTCTGATCGAAGCCATGTTTCCTTAGGGTCATATGCCGAACATACCGGTAATTACGGTGTGTTCGGCACTTGCTACAACCCACGTCGAAACCATCCATGGGTGGTCCATGTTATTGACGCAGAGCATCCATGTGTCAACCATGTTAACGTCCACTCAGACCAGATCTCATTGACGCAGAGCATCCATGCATGGGTCAACCATATTAACGTCCACTCAGACCAAGTTTGCGCAGCGCGGTGCTTGCAAAAGTGGCTTTTACTGCAGCGGCAACACCTTTTTCGCTAAAACGATCGACCTGTCACAGGGATTCTCCGCCTCTCCTAGCACAACTTTTTAGTCATAATACATGTTTTCCCTAGGTTTTAGCACATTGCCTGTTTCAGCTACGCCACAAAACGCCGGGCACGTACCAGGCGCTCTTACCTTTCTATATTATACTCTATTCTATTATACCGTGTGTTGTGCTGTTGTGCAGTGTTGCGCGGAGGCCTACAGACTGGAGGCCAACATTGGCGACTGGACTGGAGCCTGCCGGACAGCACCTGGATTCCTTGCTTTGCTTCATATACTATAACATAATATACTATTATAAAATATATAGTATAGCATAATATAATGCAGTATACTATACTCGTAGTATCCTGGTGTCTTGGATTTTGAGGCGCCGCGATCGTCGACCTCTGAGCAGTTCAAGTGGGTGGCTGACAGGACGAGACAAGCAGTCGCTACAGTAGAGTAAGCCTTTTGGCAGCCCCAGCGTGATTTTTCGTCAGATGGTTCAGCTCCGCGCAGTCCGTGGTCAAGGACTTCGTGGGCGACTTATCAGTTCTGCACGAGAGGATGTGATGTTAAAGGCAGCGGAAAGCAAGCTTTGCTTCTCTTCAGGCTTTCGATGCTGTGAAGGCATGGGGCGAGGTGCCTGCAGCATGATCAAGGCTGTTCATGGCATGATGCGACGATGCAATCAGCTGCAGGAAGCCACCAAAGCTGCCAATGCTGCACGTGAAGCGGCGCAGCTGCGCAGCAAGGCCGTATCGGCTTGGAAGCAGCTTGACCTGAGCTGCGTTTCTTTCAGGAGCCACCACGTGGCCGTGGTCTCGTGATTCGAATTTACGGTCGTTGGCCTGCACCAGAGGACTGGGCGACAGCCTCAGCAGAGCATGCCTCGATACCGAGTAGCTACACAGATGTGCCCAAAATGAGTGGACTGCAGATCAACATTGCAAACCTGCCGCTGGCTGGGGACTGGCGACACCCTTGGTGAACGGTGCAGCCACAACATTTCGGACATCTTTCTCTGGTACTTCGCTTTCAGGCGAGAGCAGGCACTGCGATTGCTGCTGCCATCCGCCAAGGATGTGCAGGACAGTGGAGACCCATGCAGATGCCGGTCAGGTCTCACCAGGATCTTTGCCGTTGCAGGACGTGCCTCTCCTTGGGTCCTTCTCTGAGCAAGCACTGACAGCAGTGGCCCGGACACCCAGACTGCGTTGCTTCTGCACTCTCTTGTACAGCGTCTTCGCACATGATGCAGTGTGCACCCGGGGACAGGGTCAGGTGTCTTGATGCTCCGTGGATCAGAGGTTCCATCTTGGCGCTTTCGGTAGTTGAAGCTCTAGTCGGTGTTTGGCAATGTTTTGCCGATCAAGCGCTCCCTGTCTCTCTCCGCGAACATTTCGGCTCGAAGATCCGACCCGACCGAACTGGGTTGCTGTCACTGCAGACAGCAGCGCAGCAATGAAGCTAACAGCGTCGTGGTCTCATCATATCCACGGTAGTGCAGCTTAACGTCGGAGTTTGGCAAGGCTGATCTGTGCATGAGGTGGCTTTGCGTGACCTTTATCAACATCCCGGTCCTTGCCTCCGCACATGTCCACAAGCACAGCCACAAGCGGCATACGCTGCACACGTCGAAGCAGCCACGACGCATTCAGCCGCGAGACCCAAGTACGGCTGGAATTCTTTGCGAGCTGCGAGGCGGTCAGGTGTTGGATCCGAGGCTGCGGAGGCGCTGACGATGGATCGGGAGGCTTTGTCCTGTTGCATCGCAGTGTGAAGCACATGTCCGTCAAAATCCCTAAGAGGTCGTGAATGCTCACAGACAGAAGCTGCACGAGCAGCACCAGGCTGGCCCATCCAGATCCCAAGAGAGCGGCACTTCCCCATCTGATGCTACGCTGCCACGTCTTGAGCAGGAGATGCTGGCAAAGCTCAGAGGCCACCGAGTGCATCCTCGCGAGGGCCCCCAGATGCCTTCAAACCTCGGCTTCGCGACCCTGGGAAGTTCCGGGCTCAGGTCGCATTGCGACAGGTTTACAAATCGTAACCACCAGTAGCAACGATTAGTAACCCTAAGTACTGATACTTAGTGTACGGTGTGGTGAATCATCTGCAGCGGCTCCGAGGCCATGTCGACACGGCCGACATCGAAGCCTCGCTTCAGCCCCCGGTCTCAGCCAAACTCACGAAGGTGCGGAGAGAGAAAGAGAGAGGGCAGGGGTGGGGGGGTCTAACCTCCTCGTCCCACAAGCTGTGCAAGCAAGCAAGCAAGAGAGAGAGAGAGACAAAGGACCGAGTGCAAGCAAGAGAGAGAGGGTTGCGGGAGGTGGGAGGGGCCCGGATCGGATGAGCTGCTCGAAAGGAGGAGTTGGAGGAGTTCCTTCAGGAGCTGAGCCCGGCTTGCCGCAAGCAGTTCATGGCTATGCTCGAGGATGCTGGGGCTTTGTTACCAAAAATTGAGCGTTCTTCGAGTTGTATTTTGATTTGTTTCACAGGATGTCGAATTTGAGACCCTGCCAGGGACATGGCCAGGCAAGAGATCTACATCGTTTCGGTCAGAATGCCACTCAAGCTTGCAGCAGCTTGGGTGGAGCGCTGTGTGAGAATCATGCCCGAATCCTGCAAACCAACGTGGTCAAAGATGGCCGCAAGATGGTGGCCAAGTCGGTTGTTGATGGCAAGAGCTGCCTGCCAAGCCAGTGCATTCAGGATGCAGACTTGCGGATGCTGGCGGGCATGTTGCAGCGTAAAGCTGTAGAGACCCTTGGTCCGGCATCAGTGGGCCAGCAGCCTGTGGAGGTGGGGTGGGGGGCGGGGTGGTGTTCCATGTGCAACGTGCTTTCTGAGCTTTCACAACTCATCTCCGGATGGTGCGATGTTGATGCTCTCGCTTGTGCATCAAAAGTCGGGCGTGCCTTCGTGGAAGGTTCTCAGTTTCTATTGAGCGATGATTCTTGTGTCAATTTACGGGGTTGTTTGGGGGGCACCAACACCATTCTCCCATTTCACGGTTGCTATGCCATGCTACGCCATGCTGCCATACATGACATTATCGGGGAAAGTCAGCATTTTCGTTTTGCGGTTTTCGTGCTGTTTTGCGTGCTTGCTTTCTTGCAGACCAGACCCATTTTTGCGCAAGGCGTTCACCTTGAGGGAGCTAGCATTCCGAGGCCACTGCTAGGCCAGTTTCAGATGATGTGAATTCTGGAAATACTTCAGGCTTCCGGAGAAGGCGAGTTATCAACAAAGAAGCCATTGGCATTTCAACTAAGCATGACTTCCGAATCCTTCAGACTCACATTTGGTGAACTTTCAGTCATTTCGATCTCTCAATCTCCAAACTTTGTAGGCTCGGCCGAGTTTGATCGGCTCCCGAAGGTAGAAAGTCTTAAACGAAATTGGGCAATTGGAAGCTTTGAAGTTCAACAGCCCGAGAATTCCAAAGCTTCAATTTTTGCAGGTTCCAATGCTGAATTTTCGAGGTTGCAACCGTCGATGGTTTTAAGTTTGATAGCTGCGCGATTTCAGTTTTGTGTTTGAAGGTTCGAACGCCTCGAGTTTGAATTGAACCCTACTTCTTGAGGTTTGTCTTGTGTTGTACTGCTGTTCACCAATGGCGACAAATGGATAGGAGTTGTTGAAGGGCCCATCCGAATCTGCAAGGCAATCGTGATAAGTGGCGAAGTCGTGCACTGTGGGGCATTCCAAGAAAGACAAATGAGCAACTGTTGCTGGCTGTCTCTCAAGCGTGCTGCGGGTATTTTTACCGGAGGGAGGCGCAAGTGCTGTGCGGCGGAGAATCACATGAGGAGGGCCAGCACAGAGTGCAGTACTGCCAATTTAGGAACTAGTTGCGATAGGACTGCAGCCTGGGCCCTTAGCAGGTCCTGCTGGATGTCGACTGCAGCTCCAGTGGTGGTTCCAGTTATGCTGCCACCAGGGAATGGTCGATGAAGCGGGCCGGTCCTGTCCGCTCTGATGGCATTCGGACCGCTGCTGCGATGCTCTCTTGGATACCCGTGATCCTCGCTTTACAGGCGCTTTGAACGGGCGTGCCTGGCCCTTGCATTCGGTACGACAAGTGGCATGCACAAGCGATGTGCTGCTCACTTGTGCAGCAAGACGCTGGACTGTAGTAGTGTCATGCGACGGGCGAAAAGATCTCAACAATGCACACCACTTTGAAGACTGCCTTGGGGCTGCCACGTCTGCCAAGGTCTCGGGACAAGTCAGCCGTGCAATCCAAAACTCTGCGTGGGGCTCTTTGACGTGACTTTGAATGCACTCAGCTATGCTTTGGAACCGGAAGATGGAGGCACGGGCTTGGAGGACGAAGCAAGTGTGCGCAGTGCCAGGACAGACCTTTGGCGAAGAGGTTCGGGTAGCTTTGCTGCACCAAGGTTGGCGGGTTGCTGGTTGCTCTGCAAGGAGTGCTCCTTGATGGTGGCATTGCCTGAGGTGTTGCCTCCGAAAAGCCGTTCGAAATCGGCTACGAGGCAAGTTGTGAAAACTGCTCACCCGCCAGGGTAGGACATGTACCGTCTCTAGGTTGTGGAGGTGAACTCCTCAGACGCCGAGGAGCACGCGGATTCGGCTCGTAAAATCTGGGCATGATTCGATGTGAAGCGTGCTTCACTGCGAGGAGATGTGCGGACTTGCACGGTCGATGCCGAAGAGAATGGACCTCAGCTTTTGACTGCGGTAGCTGAAGCCGAGCTCATGCCACTTCGAGAATGCCTTGTCCAATGTGTCTAAATTCAATCACCTGGTTCACGGGCTCTTTGCATGGCTGGGACATGCTGTTGCAAGAGATACCTAAACGATCATGTGGGCTCTTATGCTTAGTGCGACTGCTTTGGAGAGTTTGTGGTCCTCGTGACCGAAGGCGGCACACCTGGGCGCGTGCTGAGCGTGAACCCCGATCTCCAGTCTTTGATTGAGTCTGCCACAGATTTGGACGAGACTGGCGATCAAGCAAGTGAAACTTCAGCGTCTGCATTGCGTGTGTTAAAGTGTTCATCAGTGTTGCGGTCACCTCCCCTCACCCTGCGCAGGCATACAGCACGGACCTCCGGAAGGATTACAAGAAGATCTTTGGCGAGGACCACAAGCCCGCCGTTCCGGCCGTCGAGGCGTGCTAGGGAGGCTTGTTTCGGGCCTGGTCTAATCGTCTCCTTCCGCTGAGGCCGCAGAGGGTGCGCCAGTTGATGTGACGCCGGAGACGCCCTCCGCTGCCTCCGCTTCCGTCGCTGCCGCGGTGCCCACGGACCCGACGGTGGTGCGGCGCTTTCCTGCGGGAAGCAAGGTGGTCATCAAAGGGCTCACAGGCCCTGCTGGCTGGGGTGGCCTTGGCGCTTGGCAGTCTGGCTTTCCGCAGGCGCTGTAGAGCTCAATGGCCAGGAAGGCGGGAGGCTCTGAGCTTTCACGGGCAGTTCGAGTCGAGTCTTCGTGATTCGAGGAGAGGTTGTACCACCCTCGGCTGCAGAAGCAGAGCTTGCTGCTGAGGCTTCCGTTTGGTCACGTCACCATTGCAGCCTGTGAAGGAATCGAACATTTTTGCCGGCTCATTTCTTGCTGACGACTCTGTTGTGCAAAGCTGCGGCGGATTGCGGATCCACATCGAACCAGTCATGAATCCGTGTCACCATGCCGTCGTCGGCTGTCTTTCGCGGCATCGGCGGGCAAGATTACTTCTAGGGGCTCAGGCCGAGAAGGTTGCGAAATCACAAGAAACTCTGGCAAGACTGAGACTCGTATGGCACTTTGCAGCCATGGCATCGCTGATGGAACTGGGCAGAGTGGCTTGGCTCTACTCCGACAGAGCAGAGTTTTGTTCTGGTGTTCGGTTCTGCTCCCTGGTCCGCGGCTTTTATGAGGTCGCCCTGGATGTGGTCCTCGCAGTCGCTTGCCTTCGAGAATTTCAAGGCATGTCCTGTGTCTGTGGGTTTGCTGACGTCTGACAGGTGGGGCCGATGGTCAGCTCCGAGAATGTGGCGAAGACCCACCATGTTGTACAGATGAGGTGGGGATCTACCGAGCCAGACTGTGGTTGCGGCATTGATTGTAATTCAACGCCGAAGCTGATGCGGTACATGCTGATGTTGCAGAGTGAATCCATATCCTTCGGACAGGCGCGAGCTTGTTCGGCAAGTGACAGTCGATCGAGCGATAAGTTTGTGGCCGCGGGTGCGTCTCCCGCGTCGTTTGGCGGAAAGCCGCAGTTGTATGATGTTGTCGTACTCAGCAGCAGCTGTTGCCGGAGTCGTCAGCATCTGGGCTGGTCATTTTCGTCGTCATCATGGGTTCTCGTGACAGTAACGGGAGCAACAACTATAGATGAGAAGAGTAACTACGCCTCTGAGGCCAGTACCAGTACTAGCATGTACCACGCGATGTCGAGTATTCGTAGAGGCAAAATTTGTTCCACAGCATAGACGCGGCTTCTCCATGACGCTTGTTCTTCAAGTCTTCCACTGCACTTGTGGAGGCACAGCCGCATTGAGTCCTTTCGAGAAGATGTGCGCGATATGCTGACGGCCTCACGGTATGTGAAGCATTTCTTTGGGCCCGTGGTGTGGGTTGCTCCAAGACGGATGCGGTGGCAGATGATGCTGCCCTTAGAGCGTAAGGAGCGTCTCGACAGCTCCCAAAACTTGACACTCAAGTCGCGCACTCAGCCAAGCTGGGTCTGTTCTAGCGGCTCCTGATCTGGTGTGCGTTATGTGGGCAGTCTTGTGGCAGGTCCACACTACTCTTCGGCTTCGTCGCCGCCATGCTTGTCGAGGGTTTCCCTCCGCAGTGCCTGTCTTACTTCAGCTGCAATCAGAGCTTCATTTGGAGGTGGCATAGTGACACGGGTCTTCGGCACTACAGGAAGATGCAGTCTGAGCTTTACGTGGACGTGTTCATTTTTCTTGTGCCAAGCTCCTAGCGTGGCCGGAGTGAGTGTTCCCCTGCGCCGGGAGCATCTCGTCGTTGATCGCCGTTGATCCGCTTGACTCAGGCCCTGGGGCATTTGCCTGCTCTTTCAGTCAATGACCTTCGCTGTGCTTTACCAGCCAGAGCCTTTGAAATGAATCATCGAAATAGATTCATCCGCTTTGTACGGCAGCCTCACGAGCGTCGCCGCTTGCCATCGGCCATGACCAGCCGCAACAGCCAAAGCAGCGAATGGTTTTCATCACGAAACGGCTTGCCCAATTAGTTTGGCCGTTCGAATATGAAACTTCCGACACTTGTCACTTCTAGTGGCGGTAATGCCGCCACACATTTCAAACCTCTGCTAACGGATGCATACGGTATTGAGTCCACTCATGGGCTTAGGCGTGGAATGATGACGGTGGGCCTGGCACTGAGCACAAGACGCAGGAAGGGTGCCGAACACATGGAAGATGCCTGCTGGCGTGCAGCCAGTCAGCATGCTCATGCTTTATGATGTTGCATGACACTGGGAACAAACCTCTGCTACACGATGATCAAGCATCATGTGAGGGATGTATCATCACGATGAGCTTCAACACCTAAGGTGGGATCTTAGAGACTGTCCAGGGCTTCGATTTTTATTAGGGCCAGGTGAGTTCCGATGGAGTCCATGGCCTTGTCTCCGCTGCCTCCGAGCGCCCGCAGCGCGGTGAGGCGTGGGTTCAGACGGGAAGGCTCCCAAGCGAGGCATGGAGGAGCTTCCGAGTTTTTGGCGAGGCCGCAGGTTTTGGCTGGAACCCGGCCATCCCCTGCACTGGTGAGGACCTCACTCGTAAGCTCGCTTCTTCTTATTCTTGCTCCCTGAAGAAGCGGTGTTGCACGGAGGTCAGACCGCTGCAGACGCATCTGCCTTCTGCAGCCTTGGCCGCAGTTGCTGTTGGGGCGGCAGTCCGGCGTCGAGCAACTCCCTTCACCAAGAAGACTGCCGGCGGGATGCAGGGGAAGGGGGGCAGGGTCTCTCTCTCTCTCTCTCAGTCTATTTCTTTTGCTCTGCCCTTGCTCTGACAGGCTTGACAGAAGAGGCGAAGCTGGCCCTGGCCATGAGGGAGGAGATGGTGCAGGCGACCGTGGACGCCTCGTCGCCCGTGCCGCAGAGCTTCGACCAGGCCGTGAATTGGGCCTGCTCGGCTTTCTTGCGGGCGACCGCTGAGCGCCAGATGCGGCAGAGCATGTACTTCAACACTGGCACGATTGACAACCAGGTGTCTGGTGAGCTTGGCAACGTCTTGCAATTTGCAGAGAGGATGGCAAAGACACTGGCCATGTCCCCGAGACTACCTCAGGGCAAGGGGGTCCGTGTTCTATTCACAGATTTCGGTGCAATGTCGCTAGTCTCTACGCGGTGGAACCCACTCCCAGAGAATTTGACGCTCGATCACTTACCACCTGTCCTGCCAAAGATGGAGTTGAAAATGGAGGAAAAGACCAAGATCGAGGAGTTCTTGGAGTCATCCATGCTTCTGATTGTTGCACCCAACCAGTCCGAAATGGCAGCTGTCCTGGCAATCTTCGAGATGATGAAGGAGACGGGCAAGACCATCCCGGTCGTGCTCCTGAATGCGAAGCTCCTGCAGGATAGTGTAGCTGCAGCAGGCGTTATGCTGCGCAACTTCCGGAGCATGGAGGGTACGCTGTTACCCATCTTTCACTTGGAGCAGTTTGAGCCTGATGAAGACAAAGATCCCGTGCCCCTGAACCCGGCGGTCATAGTCAGAGTGTGGCCTCGACCCTTCTCGGTCTGGGAGGATAACGCAGAGGACCCTGAGTCGATCGATGGCTACTTCCTGCTAGATGTGAATGACCAGCAGGCTGCGGATCCTTTGCTTGAACAGTTGCCTTCCTCTTTTTACCCAGTCCCCACCCCAAGCACTCAGACTAAATCTCGAAATGCTCATTTGTAAGGACTACCAAGACCTCATGACGTTCCTCAAGGGCTCCAGAGAAATGACAAAGCGCATGCGGTTGAAGGAACGCCAGCAGAGGGAAGCCGGAGGCAAGCTTATTTGACGTGCGACGGTGAAGTCCTGTCGTCTCAGCACACGTAGTATGGCGGAACAGCTGTGAGCCGCGTCGGTGAAGGCAACGCTTTCCGTTTTTCTCTGCCAGTTTTCCACGTATTCGTTGTATTCCGTGTTGCGCTCCACTTAAGTGGCAGCCTTCCGGCCAGTTCCTGTGCTCGAAGCAGCCACGGAGGAAGGGAGAGGGGAGAGGGGGGGGGCAGGAGCAGGACCAGCTTCAACTGTGCAGCCAGTTTTGCCGCGAGCTCTGCTGCAGACCTGTCCGATAAACTCTTTAACACTGCGAAATGAAAAGAAGTGCCTAACAGCAATTGGCAAGTTTCCGTGAGCTGAATCAGAGCCTCCCAGCATCCGGCGCAAGGCCCAAGGCTCGAATGAGAGAAGTGGCCCAGCAGAGAGCCAAGTGCCGGCTGCAGACTCGGGCCAAGGCCACCGTCACCTGCGTGAGCTGCAGATTCTTGTTTCGCAGCAGGCGCTGAGGGTATGGGCAGACTTTGCCGGAAACCGGCCATGTAAAAGTAGAGAGCATTAAGCGCTTGAAGCTCTTCAGATCCTGTCTTTTCCCAGGCCGAGGAGGAGAAAGACCAATGCCGGGCGCTTGCTCCAGGCCTTTGGTCCCAAAAACCTGCGGAGCGATGCACCCGCGCAGGTGAGACATTTTACGAGATTGTGGGAGAGAAGTGGCAGCGAAGCCGCAAGCACATGGACGAGAAACTGCATTCACATCCGGGTGCCAGTGGTGCCCGACAGATGGCCGGACTTGCGGTCTCAGCCGCCTGGGGTCTGGTGGCACGGATTTTCGCTTTCTCACCAAGCCAGTTTCCAAGAGTAGGAGCGCTTCAGTGCTCATGGCTCTCCTTCCTTTTTTCATGTCCGTGCTCTTCCGCTTCCAGATCCATGTCCGCGAGGAGCCTCCTCTTTTGTCGAGTCAGACTCAGACAACGACTGGCATAGCATTTCGGAGCCTACTGGGAAGCTCGAGTCGAGTCCTTCACGGATTGAGTTGGACTACTTGACCATGGAGCTCCACGCCCAGGGCTCCATGCCGCTTGGCCTAGGATTCAACCTTTGCGTCCGTCCTTCCGGCTTTGCTCCAGGTCTCCAGCTGTACTTGTAACTGTTTTATCAATGTAGCTGTTAGCAGCCCAGGGGACGGGAGGGGTCAGACCAAGCCAAGAGCGGCTCGGCCTCCCTCGCAGCGCGCGGCCTTCCCAAACACGTCACGGAGACTTGGCCTGCAGCGCAGTGGCCTTTTGTCCTTCTGAAACCCTCTTCAGCAAACTACTGCGTCTGCATCCTTTTGGTCCAGGAGATGAGCAACATGCCGGAGGTCCAGGCTTTGGAGCTCTACGAAGATCAAGCGCATCGCACCGTGGTCGGAGGCAGTTTCTTCACGCTCTTGTGCCTGGGTTTCCTGGTGGTTTTTCGGCTGCACATGCGGTGCGAGCACTATACAGATCATGCCATGGCATTTTATGCCCGTCTTGGCATTTTTTTGCCGCCGCTCCTGGTTGCGGCGTTTGCGAGCCTCATTCGCCCGTACCCGGAGAAGCACCACAGCTTCGAGACAACTGGCAAAGACCTTTCCAGCCCGACCTACATCATGGCGGCCACCCATTGCGCGGTCCTCTCCTCGGTCGGCAAGACATTCCATGAAATCAGCACAGACACTGGGGGAAGGTAAACTCATACATCGTTTCATTCCACTGGAAAAACCACCCTAAGCCTGCATGTGCCCAGAGGTCTCCTTTAAAATCTTGCTTTTCAAGGTTCTCCTGGCCGTCGCGATTTCTTTGACGTCCTTGGCGGCGGCCGTGCGACTGCATGCGCCGCCGCCGCAGCTCTCGCTCACGCCACTTCGGGCATCTCCGGTCACCTCCCTGGTGGAATGGTGGCCCGGTCGTGACGGGAAACATTCTTTGAGTCGCATGTTTCAGGCTGCGTGGCCAACGTCACGTGGCAGCTCATGTCTGTTCACTCAGGTCCGTCGAGTGGCCGATGCCAGGAGCTCAGTCCCACAACCTGATAGAGCATCTGGAGAACTTGTGTTGGCTGTTGACTAGGTTCTTCAATCCTACGGCCATTCTGGCTTTGGAGGATGGGAACAAGTGACCTTGAGACTTCACGCATGCTCACAACTGACTGGTAGAGTCTCGTAGAGATCGTGGTTTCAGGTCTTTTGCCGTACAGCCTTCTTCTGCTTACCCCTTCCTTCGCGATGTTCAACCGAGAGCTGGCATGTGCCGTGGGTTGCAGGAGGATTCGCTCATACTGACCACGGACTTTCGCGTGGCACGTTTCAGGCCGAGGCCTTAGCCCTTCGATGTTGGCCGGTGCAGTGTTTTTCACTGCCCGGCAGGTGAACGTCGTCGCATGATAAGCAGTATGCTCTCGGCTGCAAGTGCTGCCGCATGCCATATCGGTTGAAAGCAAGGGCTTTGGCAATTTGCGATGTGCTTATCTGGGGTGTGACAAGACGTAACAGCATGTCTCGAGAATTAAAGGGTGGCCTGGCTAAGCTTGCAGAGATGCAATGGCCGCGGCTTTCCTACCGGAGCAAACATCTGATGAGACTCATGGACACAGCTTCCTGGATCGCATGCGTTTTTCCATCGTTTTCTTTTTTTTAAAGACAGTGCACGCTTTTTGAAAAAATCCCAGCAGATGGTACCCAGGAAGACTATCCACACCGGATCCGTGGCTTCACCCCTCTGGATTCTAACGCAGTCATGAAGTTTGCCTGCGGGCTGGGAGTTGCTGTGTACCATGCGGATGGGGGCTTGGCCGCTATTTGGCCACTGGGTCAAGCCAAGCTCTTGCCGGAGGTAAGAGAGAGAGTCGATGGAAGACTGGTTAGTGTACCAGGGCCTCCGGAGCTGGGTTCGGAGTACTTCGCCCGTCCGAACATGCGACCAGCCGACGGGTATCATGTGAAGTACGGACGTGGGGGCGACCTGCGTTGGATAATCACATGCCAGGATGGCAGCTTGAATGGTCTGCAGCTGCGCTTCACGCCGGAGGGAGTTCTCCGGCCTCAGGACAGTGGCGTCTTCAAAGGCGGTAAGCTGGTGGAGCGGTTTCAAGAGAGCCTGCTGCCCGATGGTTTCATATGTCACGTTCTCAGCGAGCTAGTGTTGCCTGTGAAGAAGGCCCTAGGTATTGGGCTTTCACCATGTGAGGAAAGACTCTGCTACGAGAACTTCGTGGATGTAGATGGTATTGCACCGGCAGATCTCAACCATCATACTGACGAACCTGAGTCCGTGAAGGTAGTAAGTACCAAGACAGACGGATACAGGGAGTGGTGGCGTCCGCATGTGCAGCTTCGAGATCCGGGCAAAGTATACAATTCCGTGGTCCCCTATGAGTTCGCACCCATAGGTCCGTCTGTCTCTATGGAGGTGAGTCCCTTCCGTCTACCGGTCGCGGGACAGGAATGCACAAACCGAACATCTGCAGCGTGCTTCGAAGAGGATGCAGACCTGAGAGACATCTTCAGCCTTGGGAAAAAATCGTCGGCTGAAGTTATGTATGGCATGACAAGTCTTGGCTACACTGTTTGGGCACAGTCGCCGTAGCATGAGCCACAGGCTGCGAGATGCAGATCACTCTGCCGTCTTACAAGATGAGCCGGCTTCCCGGAGATGTCTTGCTCACGAGATCTGAACGGTTCAAGATTCTGCGCCGAGGCAGCCGTTGCCCGGCATGGAGATCAACGGCGCTGCAGCTGTGGTTTGGGGCTTTTAAAGCTGTGTTGCACAGGTTTCTGCAAGGCTTGCAGCGAAGCCTCTGCAACCAAGAACAACTCTGTGCTCCTGGCCGGACGTCGTCGGCTGCATCACTTTTCTGCGAGCAGCTCAGCTTTGAAGCTGATCAAGCCTGCTGCATCTGGCAGCCTCGTCGAAACAAGACATTAGGCTAACTCCCTTCTCTTCTACGTTTTGTTCAGAGTGCTACGTAGCAGTCGTGCAGCAGTTCCGAGGCTGGCCCGCTTGCCGGCTTTCCGTGGCATCTTGTGTCCGAGACCAGCTCTTCGACAAGACTTGGGGCCTCGAAGTGCCTGTAGGACACAGGCACCTGCAAGCAGTCTCTGCTGGCAGGTGTTCACTTGGCTTTCGCTGGCAATGACACCGCCGATGCCAAGGATGAGCACACAGTGATTATAGGGGCGTTCGTGTAGCCAGCATTCAAAGCTTTCAGCTGGCTTACCTAGGAGGCCGTGACGGGCCTCACGTACTGGGCAGAGAAGGATCTGCTGTTGTTGGCGGGGTCGACCTGCCGTGTGTTTCACACGGTGCAGCGTAAGTAACACCTCGTGTAGCTTGAAGCCCCTGATTGCCAGCCCGACACTGGGCGTCGTCGCTGCAAGGCAGCGGCCTGAGAGCGTCGGTGTCGTGTGCCTTCACGAGTGCGATCAGGCTCTCCAACTCTGGTGGTCGCGGGCCTATGGATGTAAGTTGGGAGCTGAAGGGCAAGAGGGAAGTTGAAGTCTCGCTCTGCTCAGAGGGTTTAACATAGAGTCGGACCAACTGCTGGCCTCTATAAGGCTTGGACTTTCGCGTCCCTGTAGATGAGGCAGGGCCGGTGCCGATGCACTGCACCCTGCTTCTGTCCCTCCACTATTTTGTTGCCCAGGTTTTGTCCTCAAGGGCTTATTCCGGTTCCGGAAATGTGCAAGACCCGAGTATCTAATCCTGTGGGCCTGAATGGCCGAATGCCTTCGTGGCTGGATGTGCGTTTGTTTCTGGTTTGGTTGGTTTCGCGAGGTGTACGGCTGTAGTAGGGTTGAGTGTTGGTAAATCAGGCAACATCCGGGAACGATGGAAGCTGTCGTGGAGAGCGAGATCCGTCAGCTTCGACGACCGAACTGAGTGCAAGATAAGATTCAAAGCGGCTCACGTCACGGGTGTCCCTTCGACGACTTCCTGGCCAGATGAATCTATTAGTGCACGGGGCTTCGGGGAGCATGAGTGCACAACGTGAGGTGCCTTTGGGGAGTGTGGACTCTGGCCGGGCTCTCTCCACGATTTTGGTCCGGTGCGAACCATGGAACGGCCATAGCTGTGCAACCCGGCTACGGGCTCCATGGAGGTGGAGGAGTGCAAGCGTCAACGACAGCAGCAGCAGCAGCAGCAACAGCAAGCAAACTCAACAACAGCAACAACGACACCATGCAGACGACGAAGGACACGACATGTTCACCCCAACCCCAAGCTCTTGTCCAACTGCCACAACTACGACAGCATCTGCAACAGTAACCATCTGTAACCACAGCCGCAAGGAAGATGGAGACGGCGACGCACCGACTATAGCACACCGACTATAGCAATGCTGACGTACTAGAGGTCTACTCCCTCAGTTGCTGTCTTTTTTCAGGCGGTGTCGGCGCTACAAGTCGATGAGGCCGAAACTCGAGTGTTGACACTCGAAGAAGAATCGAATCGCTTGTCAATGAAGTGCAATGCAGAAGGCGAACAAGCTACTTTATGCTCTTCTTCGTTCCGGAGAGTTGATAGTCTTGGACCTTGCAGAGAATCCAGGTGACAGTGGGCATGGAGAGTGGGGCGAGCCGATATCGTTGACGTACGCTCTGAGATGTTTTTGTGGCTGCTTGTTGACGGCAGGAGCGGTTCTTCAGCGACACAGGCTCCTTGACTCTTTGGCCAACGAAGTGCAAAGTAGAATCAATCGTCGCGACTGAGTTGAACGATCCGAAAGGCTTCCGCGAGCAGATGCCGATATTTACAAGGACTCGCAGGCAAGCCTAGTATCAGATCCGACCTCTCAACGAGCTGCACGTGTTTGATGTGTTCCGAACGTCTCCAGCCTGACGCGCGTGATGTTGGTCTTATAGGCGACTAGCACCGTCAAGTGGACGGGTATTGCAAGTGGGAGCCTCAGCAGTGTCAACGATGGTGGGAGTTGTGGTCATACCTCTGCCGTGATGCCATCAGGCCAAGGGCGCAGATTGTTTGCTGTGACGCACCATCCGGCCGCGGGCTTATGGATGCCTGCAGCTTCTCCGTGATGCACAGCACCGGGCCAAGGCAAAAGTTTTCAGCTTCGAGCTTCCTCATTTGGTGAGGCTTCGACGTTGCGGGACTCACATCTTTGTTGAAATGTGCCGGACTTGATCAGGCAAAGTTGCAGCTCGTCTCGACTGCGAGGGTGCAAGACAAGCATCTGACATTGCAACAAGCGAGGTCAGGAGCGAGCAGCATGTGTCACATCGGAACCTAGTGGAATCTAGAAGTCAATATATTTCTCGGCCCTCACTCCTTTTGTGGAAATGATGGTGCTCGAAGTGTACACCGGCTGCTCCTGTGATTGTTATTGTTTTGATTACAGTCGCGTCCCTCCAAGAGTGAGAACGCTCTGAAGAGAAGCTGGCTCAACAAGGGGCCGGCGGCCAAAGCTGCACGTACAGTCCCATGCCCCATGCCGTCCCACATGCTGCAGTGTGATGCAGACGTGTACAGTGTGACTGATGCGTGCAGGCGCATCGTCCGATGTGGGAGCAAGGTCGTCATATGCGAGAGTCGTGCCTGAACCGTCGTACCTCGAGAGAGACCAAGCTAGACTGTCGAGTTCTCCCGCGCTACTTCTGGCTCTCTTACCAGGAAGCTGCCTGGTTGATCCAGTCTACCAAGTTGCTTGATGCGAGCTATCGGATCTAGTTGGGTCCTGCATTCCGGGGAACTGGATGTTTTGCACAAAGTCTAGTAGGTCAGGAACGACTCAGGGTTCAGCTGTGCAGCTCGTCAGTCTGCAGGGCCGCGTCATCGTGAGATTACCTGATGGGGATCGAGCTCGGTACTGAGCTCCGAGCATTTGCGCCGCGGGATGTTGATGCATGGAGCTTCTCAGGTTGCGCTGAGGGCTGACAACGTTCGCCTTGCATTGTTGTCATCTTAGAGATCCACAAGGCGAGCCACCAGCCGCCTCTTCGTCGTAAGGCTGTGAAGGTGACACATCTCCGACTGGTTCTGCGCACCCTTCGCAACATGTGAAGTGCAGGTGAGACGCAGCCCGCAGCTATTTGCGAGGCAATGAGCTTCAGCAGCACCGCTAAATTCCAGCGTCCTCCGTAAGTCGCACTACCGCCGACAAACACTGACCCGGTTTCAAAGGGTTAGCTTGTCAAGCTCTCAGTTTTTGTGACACTAGAGAAGCGCTTCTCGAAGCGTCAGCTCGTGACCTGTGGGCAGGCAGCTCCCAGTACATCCGAATAAGACTTCTTTCTACCTGGCAGCGAGCAGATGGTCTCGAGCATGAGACCATTCTACTGAGGCTCTCTCTTAGCCTCGGTTCGCTCACATGCTTGAATCAAAAGGGCGGGTGCTGGCGTGCTCTCAGCAAGAGAGCCTTCCAGGATGTCGCTTCCTTGCGTGGACAAGTTCCGCTGTCCTGAAGTCTCAAGACAGGGACCTTTGTCAAGTCTTTTTCTCCAGTGGTTCAGGACTGATTTCAAGTTGCCAGTCCTAGTGTTTTTGTATGCATGCATATATAATTCATATATATATATATATATAATTATATATATATAAATATGACATTGTAACATGTATCCTTGGTTTCTTACAGCTGGCCTTTAATGTGAGGCTGAAGCACAAACTTTGCCGATCCCATGCCGGCAGGCAAAAACCTTCCAAGCACACCCAATTCCCACCCCCACCAAAAGAAGTGCACCGCACCCTCAGAAACGTAGACACGAATGGCAAGTGTGAAGTAGCACCTGCAGCCGCATGGGGAATGCTGCGCTTAAGCAGCACGTGGTCCGTCTTCTCGAGCAGCATGCGCCGCTTGTGGTTAAGGAGACCTGCAAATCGTTCGAGCTATGAGAGCGAAGCATCGCTGCACGAGGACCTTCCGTACGATGAGCTACTGGCCCTGTCCGTGCTGGGCATCTCGGTCACGTTGCAACGTCTGGAGTTGCAGGACGCAGTACACGGATGCCTCACGAGAATGTCTGACGCAACACTTCATCCGATGATCGTTTGCCTGGAGGAGAGAGTGCTGGAGAACTTGGGGATCTTCCTTCCGCTGGAGATTCAGAGCGCCTGGCTGGAAGAGGCGTGAGCAACGCTGTGATTCCTGCACCGGGACAGAAGGGCCTCTCGTTGAAATCTCCAGGTCGAGCTGAGCCTACGAAGTGGGCTTCACTTGCACGCCTCTGCTGAACGCTTGGTGCTTTCTGTACGCCTGCGGGATTGGGAGCCTTGCCGTCTATTGCTGAGACGGGGATGGGGTTGGAGCTTTGGAAGTCCTATGCGGAGTTCTGATGCCGTGGTAATCCTTGGTCTTTGCCTGATGTAGCGTAGCAGGGTGCGATTCTGGCTCATCTTGAGCTATCCCTATGCAAAGCTCTGTGTGACACTCCTTCCTTTGAAGATCGCCGCACCTTTCTGCAAACCTTCGCTTCTCATGCTCTGGACTCCGGACAGCATTGCAGACCAAGGACAGGGAAGTCGAGGCCATCTGCCAAGCAGATGCGAAGCTTGGTGGCGACTTGAGTTGTGCTTGTCCAGAGGCTCTCTTGCTGCACCGAATTGGAAGAATCAGTGAAGGAAGAAGCCCTGGTCGAACACCGAACACGCTGGCCAGCCATTTTTGCTGAAATTAGTTTCAAGCTCCCTGGCCGTTGACAGTCGATTGCCTTTCAACTGGCATGTCCAGAGTCAATCTCCTACACGTTTGAGGCTTTGACGTCGAAGTGCGGAACGTGGAGATTCTCTGCGAGATGCCAGACGCAGAGTCAGTTCCGTGGACCTTTGCAATCTCCACATCTGCTTGCGTGGAGCCGCTGGCTCTGAAGCAGATCCTCGACCCAGCCCAATGCTGGCAAGCAGCTTTGATACTCAAGGAGCCCGGATTACCGACAAATCCTAAGCATCGGCGAAGCCCTAAACCCCCCAAAGAACCCCCGGACTCACCCGCAGCCGCCGGAGCCTCGCTGCCTTGCAGGACTTCCGGATGCGCGTAGCTCCGAGTGAGGTCGCAAGGCGCCAAACCGCCGAAGACGAGCGAGGACCGCCGAAGACGAGCACTGGCGAAAGGCTCCGAGCGGAGGCTCTGTGGGAGCTCCTGTGTTGTGAGACTCCGGAAGGACTCGTCGTGCGGCTGTGCGACGAAATACGGATCCAAGCGCATGGATCCAAAAGAGGAGGAGCGGGCCCGGGTGGGAGAGAGAGAGAGGGAAGAGTCGGCTGGTACAGTGGCACGTACATCTTATGTTGCTTAGTTGCAGTTCGAGGCTTGCCCTTGGAGCAGACGTGTGGCAGGCAGGATGCAAAGCTCTGCAACTCGAACAGCACAAGGAAGCTGCTGTCGCTGTCCATCTATGCAGACACAACTGGATAGCTTGTCTTCTGCATTGCGATGGAACGCCAACTTAGCAAGGCATGCATGTATCATGGGTTTCCGAGCCTTTCGGTAGCCGGTGTGCACGGTGGCGAGTGAAGCAGAAGAGCATGGTTCATGATGTTGAACCAATGTCGTGAAGCTCAGATCAAACAACCGATGCGCAGCAAAGACAAGCAACAGCATTCGCAACGCTCGAACCATGAGCATCAGCATGATCTCAAAAGACTTGCATTCAATTGGTCCTCTGTCTGTTCCAAAGAACGGGTTTCTGATCTCACCCGGCATTTCCGAAAGAAGACGGAAGGACGACCTGTGAGCTGGAGAAACCTTCCTTCGGCAAGCAGTTATGCCAAAAGCGTACGTTGTCTTCGCTCTGGAGCCCTTTGGTCCCCTCGTTCCGGAGAAGTGGTGACTACTTGAGGAATGTGGCCCCGCGGGCACGTTGCGCCGATCTTCACTTTAAGACGGTCTTCCTCCCGTTCTCATCAAGCAAGGTGCCGCACTGATGGCAGTGGCGAGCGGCGCACACTCTGCACCGCTATGAACTAGGTAACCGGTCCAGAAAACGCACCACTTGGAGTATGCAGCGTCAGATTCTCAGCTAAAACTTACAGAACGGTGGGCCTGCTTTCGGACTCCTCCGGTCCTTGTCCATGGCTGCTCGATTCAACACGTCCTGCAGCCAACCGTTCCGTAACCTTCTTCCGAGAAGGCTCGTCAATCGGGGCCGATTGCTCGAGTAGTGCATCTTCACATGCTCTATGGCATGCTGTAACTGCTGCAAGTCCGCAAGCTATGCTTGCAAAGTGTCTCCAAGCCTTGCGACCACCTCAGCCACGCATGACTTCCTTCGAGCAACATGCGGCTCTTGCTCTTCTGAATCTTCCGGTGAGCTCACACTGCAAGTCTTCGAGTTTGGCCGTCTGTTCGCCTAAGCTAGTGTTTGCGGTGGACTCTCTTCTGACCCGGCTCCCACCCAATGTTTATCGGCGGCGTCGAACCGTCATGTTCGCTACAGACGATCATCCCGGCACAGGAAGAGGACAAAGCATGCCTAGCACCTGAAGCCTCGGGTCTCAAGGGTCTCTCCACGAGCGATCTGAACTGAGATCTGGTTTCAGAGCTGATTTTGGGCACCCGGGCCCGAGCACCCGAGCTCCCCAGAGTACTGGTAGCCGAGAGCCGAGGCATGATGCTGAGCGTTTCCGGGTGCGCCGGCCTCCGCCTCTCGTCGGAAGAAAGTGAAGCTCCTGAAGTCATGGAGAGGGGGGTCCGGTAGGTATTCCGCTTTAGAGACTTAAAGAGGCTCAGGGCAGTGCCTCGTGTCGCAGCTGCTACTTGTAGCTGTTGAGGCATAAGCCAGCAGCAGCTTGGGATGCTGTTTCGCCTGGGCCATGTTTTCGTGCGCCGCCTCAGATGTTTCATGAAGCGCGGCCAAAGGTCGGCCGGCTCACGTTCCAGCTGGCAACCTCTGAGGTTTTGTGGGACGCTTTCCTCAGAAGCCTTGGCACCTCAATGATCTCAGCTTGGATGAAAGACTTGGAGGATCGCCAATAGTGTCATGCCAGAATGCATGCATTGAACAAAGAGCTTCTCAGGATCTTTTTGCGATCATGGGGCAAGAGCCGCTTACCAATGCCATCTTTATTTTAGATTTTGGTGCCGCAGCCCAAGCGCTTCGTCAGATGTAGCAGGCAAGTGCAATTGGAATTTTGGGTTCGCTGAGGCTACGCCGGTTGAGCTTATCCTCGAGGATGGCAGTGCCGGCGGATTTACTTTCGCCATGCAGAGTTTTGTTGCTTTGCCGACTGCTAGTGGTCGCTG